CCCCCCCCCCCACCGCAGCGCACACGCACCCACGCTCCCTGCCCCAGCTCCCGCGCAGGCCCACACGCCCCGCCGGCACCACCTTTCCAGCCCGCGCCCAGCACCAGCCCCTTCCAGCTGGCCCCCTGGTGAAAAAGTTCGAGGACCCCCGATTTAGAGTCTTTCGCTGTCAGTGAACTATCCATACCTGATCAATACATTTCAAACAAAGCACATACTAAAATTGTGCTAAGGGGCTCAAAGTCCATTTATTACTAACAATAATTAGTATGGAAAACAATCTTTGGATCTGTTCTTAATTTTGATCAGAAATATACTTGAAACATATATTTATATCTTGTATAAAAGTTGCAAGAACTAGATACAATTACTTTAGGATTGTTCCCTTTCCTTACTCAAAAATGCGCTAATTATACCGAATCCGATACTGTTTTCTAGACCTCTTCTTGATGTCGTTACACAATATTTTGCACATTCACGGATAAGCAGAATTGTTCAAGTATGCTTCTGACCTCCCATTTGTTCATAACCCAATTAGCCTTTTAGCCTAGATGATAAGACTTTAACTGCATTTTCTCTTTGGATACCATCCAGCTCATCTTTACAATTTCCTATGCCTGCTTGAGTTTTTGTATGTTTTCCCCAGTGATACAATTACTAGTTTTTATTGACATATACTTTTCAATATTTCAGGGATTCATTATTCAACATTTGGCATTTGCATTGCATAAAAACACATCTCATCCTGGTTTAAGAGAGTTAGGTTAGTAACTTCTCAATAGCTTTCGTAAGAAGGCTGTTACACAAGATCAACTATTGCCATTTTTTCCCTTCGTCTTTCCCAGCATTACTTGGAGATGACAGGAAGTGAATTAGAAAGCTTCTGGATGTAAGCATTTGCTGTAGTTCCTTCCCAGAATGGGGTTGCTGTAAGAAGATAAGGAGTAATATGAAGTGCCAGTGCTGTTTTCAGGGACCTTCGTGTGTTCTTTGTGGTGTTTAGTTCTCTCTCTCTCCCCCCAGTATTTTTGTAACCTACCCTCCTTCCAATTCTGAAACACAAGGTGACTAAGAACCCAAAACAATAAAGCAACCATAAAAATAAGGATCAATAACACTCACAATAACATGTTGCAGAACACCAGTGATAAATCTCTCTAGGACTACATCAAGATCCATATACCTGAAAAAATTGATTGTCTTCCGTCTGTATTAAGTGTCCATTGTAGTAATTATCTGAATCATCTCATTAGCTGATCATCTTTCTGAAAACAGTGAGCAAAACAGGATGCTGTGATCCAGCTGGTGTCTGACCAGCACTGAATAGAACAGTGTTTTCATCTCCTACACCCAGTTCCATATAGTGCTTCTGTGAAAACAACCTAATACAGTCAGCACTGAGAGTCCAGCTTGTGGGGAGCCCTTCTTTATTCGTTTTTCTGCTTTTGGTCCTCCCACTCTTGGCACAGAACAGCCTTCCCCAACCTGGTGCCCTCCAGATGTTTTGGACTGCAGCTGCCAGCATTCCTGGCTATGGGCCCTGGTAAGAGTTGATGTGCAAAACATTTAGAGAGCAGCAGGTTGGGGAAGGGGGGAAGCTGTCATTTTTGACTTTCCCTCAGGTCAGAGAGGCTGCTTCAGTAGAATGCCACAAAATTAGAGTTGAGTATGGTTGGTTTTAGTTGAAGCCTTCAAAACATGTTAAGAATTAACACCACATATCAAATTCAGCCGAGGATGGGGCTTCTGCCTGGATGATGTTCCAAAGAAGAAAGACCTGAAGCCTACTTTCATCGCACCTGGCGTGATTTATGATGTGAACCATCAGTGCCAACTGCAGTATGGACCCAACGCAACCTTCTGTGATCAAGTGGATGTAAGTTCAGCACCATTCCCTCCCGACTCCCCATTTCGCAACAGAGGAATCAAGCTTCTGTTCCCTAGTGGGACATGGCCCCATTGCAATAAGGCGAGAATTAGCCCATGCACAGGAAAGGGTTTACGCTGACTGCCAACATGTGAAGTTGTTGTTGTTCCTGCAGAATATTTGCCAGACCCTGTGGTGCTTTGTGAAAGGCTCTTGTCGGTCAAAACTGGATGCTGCAGCAGATGGAACAAGATGTGGAGAGAATAAGGTGACTATAAGATTCTCTCCTAGGAAAAGGCAAGAATGGAAAATGTGAATTGGAGAACTAGGTGAGGCTTTTATCGTGCAGTAGCAGAGTTTTATGGGGTTAGGTTATAGATGTTGACATCTTCCATTTTTAGTCCTCCCTTGTTTTCCTACCACTTCTTCCATCTTTTTTCTTTCTAGAAAAAATCATAAAGGGTACAATCCTATGGTCCCTGGAGAGTGTTCCAGAGACCACAGGATGTTAAGATTTCCTCAGGAGAGGAAAATTACGCAAGATCCGTACTCCTGCGCCCACTTCCTTGTGGCCAACACAGTGAAGAACCATGCTGGCTGCTTCCTGTGGTTGTAACCTTGCAGGTGACCTTGTAGAGGTCAAACAGGAGGCATTTCAGGGGTGGGGCATGAACAGGGAGAGAAGCAGCCGTGATTTGCAGAACCCAACGGCATCACCAGTGCTCGTTCTCACATATGGCTGGTAAGTGAGCTCAGAGGCCCATCTAACTTCCGGGGTTTTGGCAAAGAAGGACAGGAGATGAAATTGCCTTTGTCCTCCTCCTGCTGGAAGCAGCCCAGCCAGGCATAGGATTCTTAAATGCCGCCGAGGTCAGAGGCTTCCACCTAACTAGGAACAATCTCTCAGGGTTGCACTCTAAGGAAGGAAAGATTGAAGAGCCACATGGCAGCTTTGGATGCACCTTTAGTGCTGGACGTGTTTGATCGGTGCTTCAAGAGCTGGATCAAAAGAAAGTGGCTTTCCTGACACATCTGTTCTTTTGCCTGCTGCAGGCTGCATTCAGTCACATTCTCCTGCATTCGTATTTTGCTGTGATGCCAGTCTGAAGCCCTGGTTCTGTCTGACTTTTTCATAAAGTCATCATTGTACAATTGCCTTTATTTTCCCAGTGAGGAAGGCAAGAAACCAGCTTTCTTTCCAGTCAGTGCTGGTTCTTCCAGCAGCAGGAGTTTAGATGCCATCAGATCACACATTTAATTCCTGGGTTACATTGACAACTGAATAGAAGAGAGTCCAGAGCCTTCTTCTGCAAGCCAGCACAGGTGCTAGACTCTGGATAGGGCTGTTGATGGACTCCTGCCTCAACCCTGCCGCTAAAGCCCCCCTTAACCAAAGCCCCTCCCCCCAATATTCGTTCTTTTGCTCCTCCTCCTCATCACCCGGGCTGGCTGGCCTCGATGGTAAAGCATTGCAGTCTGGTCAGACCTTCATTTTAAACGCACACCCATGTTAAACATTTCCTTTTTTAACTAGCCTTTTGAGTGGCTACAGTTTGAACCAATCAGATGGTACCTTTACAGAGGCTTGGCCAGTGAGGGCACAGGAGGATGCAAAGTCCACCCTGTGTCCTCAATGGCTGGGTTGCCGGGATGTCTCATTTGTTCAGATCACAGCCATGAGTTGTAGGACTTTTTCTGCGTCAGCATGTGCAAGATGGCACCCTAAGGCTGCCATCCTATACTCACTATTAAATGTAAACCCTATTACACTTAATAGCACTTAACCTCGGCATCAGTTTGCACAGTAAATATAATTGTAAATAAAACTGCCAAGTTAGACCATGGATTTCACATATATTTTTTCTCTATAAAGTAAAGCAGGAGGGATGAGGAAGAATGTTCAAATACCATCCTTTCGTTAATAATTAGATTAAATTCAATGTTTTGATTTGTTTGTTTTCATATTTCATATGTGTGTGCATCTGCACACGCGCACACATACTGTACATATGGAGCTCCTATATCATGTGTAGTTTGGCCTCAGTTTTTAAAAAATGCCCACAGTGTTCAGGACCTGAAAGGCGATCCCTTTAGACCAGTTTCCAGCAAGCCGCTGTGGAAGAGGGTCTTGTAGTGCCAGCGTGTTGTCTTGTCTTTTCTGACCTGCCGCATTTCCTGTTTTATTGTTCAGTGGTGCTTCACAGGTGAGTGCATCACGGTGGGCAAGAACCCCGAAGCAGTTCACGGCGGATGGGGATCATGGTCCTCGTGGTCCCACTGCACACGGACATGTGGGGCTGGTGTTCAGACTGCTGAGAGACAATGTAATAATCCAGAGTAAGTCCCACGCCTGGCTGTTCCCTCTAATTCTTTGACATTTTGTTTGTAACTCAGGCAGTCTGGTCCCAGTACATCCTAAGGAAAGTCTCATCTCATAGGTCCCATGATGTGCATTAAGATCTTCAAAAGAGCCCACCCCCTTTACGTTCCATCTTCCCCTGCATGGACATACAGGGATGCCTGAACCTTCAGCTTCCTCACAGAAACTCCCTGTCAAGGGAAAGCATACCCGAGGGATTGGGCACCCATCATACACATGTTTAGACTGAATAAAGTCCCACAACTCCCAGCATGCCCTATCTGACCAAGCTGGCTGGGGAATGCTGGGAGTTGTAGGCTCTTTTGTATCTTTGGAAACCACATATAAAAGATTGGTGATAGCTATTGTGAAACCCGTTTGAACAGGAGAGGTAACCTGCAGTTGTTGACCTAATGACAAAGGCCACCTGCAAGGGATCAGTTGAGATTTCTGTTTGGGGCAAGTTGGCAGCCCACTGGGAAGGAGGGGTCAGAGCTGTCCAGTTTGGCCTTTGACCACTCTCAGCAGCAACATGACAAAAAGGTTCCTCAGCCCTGATCTACATCATCCTTTTCTGGAGGATCTAATGCTGGGAGAGGAGCTTGCAGCTGAAACCCATCGGTCAAATGGATGTGTCTTGGGGAATGTTCACATACCATATTTCTTGCCGTTGGGTTGTCATTAAAGGCACAAGAGAGGACCTTAAAAAGTGCAGCAACCCAATACCCATCATCAATAGTAATGGCAGTCATTACTATGACTGATGATAACTTTCCTTAGTAATTGCTGAGCATATAACACCAGTCCTGGCCTGCTTGCACTGGCTGCCTATATGCTTCCAAGCCTGATTCAGGGTGCTTCTTTTCACCTATAAAGCCCTGTCTACCCAGACACAGCAATCAAGATTTGGGACCTGCTTCTGACTGCCGCCTCAGAGGGAGGCGCTATTTGTGGAAACAAGGAAAAGGGTCTTTTCAGTGCTGCCCCCGCCCCGTTATGGAACAAGTTCCTCAGTGAGGCCCACTTTTCAGCATACGGTTAAGACTGTCCTCTACTGCACCACAATTAATAGTTTACTGGAGCTAGGTTAGTTTCTTACATCAGGTCCTGAGATGTACCTTGTTTAAGTTATTGGAATTTTATATGTGGTTTACATTTTTTATTGCAACCTTTATACTGTGCTTTATCATGTGGTGTATTTTAGATTGTATGTTTAACAGATTGCTGTAAACTGCACAGAGAGCTTCACCTATTGAACACGACAGAAGATTAAAAAGTAAAATAAATATAATAAATAAATATAAGTGGAAGTGGAACTTTCATGAACAAGCACAGTATGCCTCTTAAAGAGAGATGCTGGTAGCAACAGAGAAATCTTTTGGCAGTGACCTTCAAGCCTTGCTTGTGGTTGGGTGCAGCTGGAAAAAGGATGCCAAAAGATGAACTATGGTTTGATCCAATAAAAGCCAGTGGGATATCCTGGGTTGGAATGTCAGACAGAAAGAACCTGTTTCAACCCCCATCTACCCTTTTAGACTGTCCCGCCTGGTAAAATTGCTGCAAAGATAAAACCAGGGGAGTGGGAGGAAAGCACATGCAGATTGCCTTGGAGGGAAGGCAGAAAATAAACATCATAAGTAAATGTGAATGTTTCTGATTGCCACAACTGCCAATGTCTCTTTTAGGCCACAGTTTGGGGGAAAGTATTGCACTGGCCAGAGGAAGCGCTATCGCATGTGTAACATCAAGCCCTGCCCAAGAGCCACGCCAAACTTTCGTCAAATGCAATGCAGTGAATTTGATACGGTTGCCTACAGAAATGAATTCTATGAATGGATTCCAGTTTATAATACAGGTAGGGCAGGAGGAATCACCCTTTTCTGGTGGTGAAAGCAAATGTCAAGCTGTTGGGATTAAATGTTTTCCTGCAACACCGAGAAAGCTGAGCAAGGTGAAAGACCCTGTTCTAGGAAGAGAAAGTTCTCAAAATGGAAAGGAGACACTAAAAAAAGCAGAGGTATATTTTTATGTCTCTTTTGATATGCCTGTGTGCCACTGGCCTGGTGCACCATTTGGTGAAAAAGCAGGATTTGGACTACACAAATCAAGCAAAGAGCCTTGCAGTACACACCTTGCAGGGTATTGATCTTCCCGGCTTGCCATTCCAGGATGTAGTAGCTCTACCACTGAGCTACAGCTCTTCTCAGGTCTTCTCTGCCTTTCATCTGTATTTGCAGTTGTTCATGCCTTCAGTTACTCTCACAGATTACCAAATACTAAAATTAATACCAGTCCAAGGTATTTATCCAGCCAAACTGTGTATGCATTGTAGAGCTGAGGGGGAAGCAGTGCTTAGAAAGTCTGGGACAAAATTCAATGGGTGGACCTAATTTTGGGAACTCCATTACATTCAGTCCCAGAAGGACAGCCAAGCTACTGAGGGGTAGCCAGGTTGATCCTTGATATAGTAACAAAGCTTTCTTTTTTTCATGTGGTAAAAGAAAGTTAGACGGCTAGCCACCTCATATTTAAATGCACATCACCTGGTGTGTCTTAAAATTTTGTTCATTCCTCAAAGCACTCTGATTATAAGGGCAGCCCTTTGCAAATGGATGGCGAAAATTATGTTTCTGCTTCAATGTATTGTATCAGTCTTCCTCAACTTGGTGCTCTCCAGATGGTTTTACTTTCATCTCCCATTAGCCCAACAGATGGCTAAGGATGCCAGGAGTCATAGTGGACATGGGTCTAGCTTTAAGCTGCATTAACTGGTCTGATTCCCAGCTCTCTGAAAATGCTACGCAGAGATTCAGGAGACCCCACTGAATGGGGTGAGCTGTGGTGTGGGAGAGGAGGGAGAAATCCCTCAAAGGTGGTGGAGGGACCTTTGGCAAATGTAAGACAAATATTGGGCCTGGAGGCCACCTGTTTAGGAAGGACTGTATTAAGTGTAGACTTCTGATGCACACACATTCATTGTGTGGAGTGACTGGCTACAGTTAAAATGCATAATTTCTTGCTCAGATACTTGATAACAAGGAAGTCTCTGAGCGGTACCGTTAAGGGAGAGCTTCTGTCTGTGTCAACGTAGCTTAGATTACTGTTTAAATGAAGACAGAGCCGTTTCACCCTCACAGATGTCTATAAATAAATAAAACTTGCTGGCACTGAATTTCCACTCAGAGCTTTCCAAATTGTGTTCTGGAGAATTCTTAGGGTTTCCCTGGAAACATATCAGGGGTTCATGAATAAGATCAGTGACAGCAGAGAATCTTCCTCAAGAGGCAGCTTTGCCAACTGTTCCTGATCTCCTGAGGTGCGCGCAGGCAGGGACGGTTCTTCCATGAGGTGCTGAAGGCTGTTTGAACTTGATGTGCACCCCAGAATCAGCTGCCACAACCACAGCATTGCAGGACACTATTGTTTCTCAGCAAACAAGGAGGGGGGGGGGCAAAGGGTTTTCTGAAGACAGGAGCTTTGGGGTACAGGGTCATGACTCTTTTATAATGCATCTTGTTTCTGATATTCAGACTGTAAGCCCCATACTCAGACTATAAGCCCCATATTCAGGCTATAAGCTTATGTTGCCAAACTGGCTGTGCACACACGCACACACAGACACACACATGCAAATGAACACACATGCACATAGGAGGAAAGAATCCACATGCTTTGGATTTACAGAAGTACAAAGCACTTTGAAGGGAGGTGGAACTGGAGAGGACACCATGCAATGACTGAGAAAAGCTGACTCTTTGCAGATGGATGCGTGGCTGACTGAGATCTTGTGCAAACGCATTTTGCACTGATCCATTTTCGATCCTGTTTGCACATTCTAAACTTCAGAAATGCTGTCCAGGAAATTGCCATCATACCTGTTTGCCATATGTAAGTGGAATGCTGTAAGCATCACTTACTTTCAGGCATTGATTCATTCAAATACATGCACTGCTGAATTATAAGTAAGGCTAAAGAGCATGACAATTTGAGCTGAGCAAATAGTCCGGTCAATACTTGGATGGGAGATTGGAAGCAGCTCATAACCCTCGCTGTGCTTCCGAAGGAAGGAAGAGCAAGTCCACGTGTGCAAAATTAGTAACTGGCTAATGTTGAGGCGGAATTAAAATGAACAGAGGGAGAGAGCGACAGAGAGCCAAAGACTACAAATAAAACCAATTAACAGCTTAGTAATGAGCAAGGTAGCAAAAACAAGGTGCAATTTTTAAAATGTTCCTGCTGTTTCCTGGCTGAATCTTTTAAAGATAGCAACTTGTTTTTTTTGCTACCTAGCAGGAATACATTTCCTTCTGCTGTAATGTTGTTGTTGTTGTTAGTCGCAAAGTCGTGTCCGACCCATTGCAACCCCATGGACAACATTCCCCCAGGCTTTCCTGTCCTCCACCATCCCCCGGAGTCCACCTAAGCTCATGCCGACTGCTTCAGTGACTCCATCCAGCCACCTCATTCTCTGCCCTCCCCTTCTTCTTTTGCCCTCCATTCTGCCCAGCATTAGGCTCTTCTCCAGGGAGTCCTTCCTCCTCATTAGGTGGCCAAAGTATTTGAGTTTCTGCTGTAATAGCTACGCTCAAATGCCACAGGAGGAAAACTTCATGTGTATGATAAATGCCATGCTTCCTTCATTTAATAAGAGCATCACTGAGAATGAAATTGCTCCTGAAGGCACTTGCACAAATAGGCCGATACTGGCAGGTCTTATGGCCGTTCCAGGAGCCAACCAGATGCTTTCCAAATTGGTTCATGTGGGTCTCATTACACCCCTTACACATTCCACAAGTAGAAATTGCAGGATGATTGCAGTACAGACCAAATTGGCATTTGTAGCCCCAGATTCTGCAATAAATTTCTTTTAATGGAAGTAGGAGCTTGCTGTAATCTGCACCCAAGGTACTTATTTATTGTTATAACTAGTTTTAAATTACTAATACATAGCATTGCGTGCTTATAATACTACCTTATTAATGTAGCTTAAAATATATTTTATTGATATAGCTGTTGGGTTTCCCTCCTCCAGCTAATCCCTGTGAGCTACAGTGCCGCCCTGTAAACAACCACTTTTCAGAGAAAATGCTAGATGCTGTTATCGATGGTACGCCTTGCTTTGAAGGGAACAACAGCAGAGACGTCTGTCTTAATGGCATGTGTAAGGTATTGGGTATGTTTCCTTTATACACTACGGGTTTACGGGCCTCAAAAGGGCCATCAGGTTTATAATCTTCACTACTGAGACTGTTCCATATGTTCCCAGTGGAGACACAACCCAAACGCTTATGTCCTGGTGTGTGGTTGGGAGGGTCTGTGAGCTGGATGGGATAATGGGAGGGAATTTCAGGGCTTCTTGGGATGGGGTAGGGATTAGATCATTTTGCATTCCAAATCGATTAGGGTTAAAACTGTAATTCAGTGCACATCGAAGTGGAAATAAATCCCACTGTATTTAGTGGGAGTAGTTCTAAATTAACATGTACAGGACTGAACTGTGAACCAAGCCATGTTCCTCTCAGGAGACGTTGCCTCCTCATTGTAGGACAGGATGATACAGCATAGTTTTGGTGGCTGAACTTTATTCAAAGGCAAATCAGGTGACACTGACCACACTTCAGAAATCATGGCATGTACGCTTAGAAGTTATAAAGTGGTTCACCGGAGCACTAATGGCTATGGCCTGGATGAAGGAATGATCCAGAAATGCGTACGTAGTCACGGTAAGACACTTCCATTTTAGAACATTAGAGGTTCAGAGCACTTAAAGATCCAGGTTCTTGCTACAAGTTTCAAAAAGAAACTATGGTTCACAATTCAAGAGGTGTCCAAGGGAAAAATGGTGGGATGGTGTAACTTGGAGTCCTGCAAGAGCAGGGAGTTGGACTCGATGGCCTTCATGGCCCCTTCCAACTCTACTATTCTATGATTCCATGAAATGCAAGAAGAGCCCCAGGCAAAAATAGAGATGTTCCTAAAAGCAGGATCTCTGTGTTCAAGAACCTTGAACTGACTCGGGTTTCAGGGCCAAGGACAGCTGCATCCAGTCAGAGTTGCACTCATGGAGAAGATCCTTTCACAGGATTGCTACCTGTTCGGTGTCTGGGCCAAACTAAGAGCAGGTCACATGAAATGAGCAGGCCAGCCAACCTCCAGCCACGCGGAGATTCAGGTTGTGAAAGGAATCCGTTTGGGGATTGGATTCATGGAGGGCTCACCAGGAACTGAGCCCCATGCACAATGCCCCTCTTCTGCACCCCATGCAGCTGCAGTGGTACACCTGACATGGAAGGTGGTTGTTCACATGGATGTGGCAAGGAGCACCTGCTGCCCAAGCAGCATCTCCCTCCCATGTCACCGCAGCAGCTTTTGTGCTGCAGAACCGGATGCAGAAGGAGGCTGCCAGTCACACAGCCAGGAAGTCCAATGGCCCTAAGAAACCGTTCCCAGTCTGAGGAACGGAGCCCAAAGAATCCAGTGGATTCACACCTCCAACACAGATTCCTCATGTATCCCTAGTGGAACCCCCTCCCTCCTGATGAGTCCCCATAGAATATTTCTCAGATAATAAATCAGAACCTACTTGAATGCCATAAGAAATCCCACTCTTCTACTGTTCACTCCTCCTCTCTCCAGTTGGCTGAGATGCTGGACAGGGAAGGCTCCCGTGGGCGCAGTGGATCTTTCTTACAGCAGGCCTTGCTTGTCTGACTGTGTGCCTATGTGACCCCCTGCCCTTGCTCATCCAAGACTCTGGGCCAAAGGTGTGAAGCGTTTTAAGGTCAAGCCCAGCACTTTGAATTGGGCTCAGAAACAGACCTGTAGCCAGTAGAGCTGGCACTTCAGAGGAAGCCGAATACATTGCAGTGGCTGACCCTGTAGTTTGCTGGAGCTTGTTATGAATGTGAAGTGAGGTTTCTGCTGGTCTGAATGATCGTTGTTAAAGGGGTCTGAGACCGTGAAAATGGAACTATTTGCAAATACTCTTAATAACAAAGTATATCACAAGAACACTTCAATCATCCTGGAAATCCACTGGAGAATTAGATTTGATGGAAATAGGATTTCAGAGGTGCTAGGTGAACATATTTCTGCAAAAATAACTGTTTTGATAATGGTCCAGTGGGAGGCTGTTTTTAATTCACCAGTGCTGAACAAGTATGATCTTTGAAGATTCACTTATCACTGTGGATGATTACTTCAAGTCAAACAAAGCAAAGGTTTCAACCTGCCCCCACCCATGAAGATGCCCCCCATCTCTTTGTAAGGTCCTGTCAGTTCACTTCCGTTTTGTATTGTTTTAAGGTGCAATGTTTTGGAAAGAGTTGAAAAAATAAAACAATTCAATAGCAACTCTTTTGTTCTGATAGAACCATAATAGGATTTTGTTCAAGATCTCTTGATATAATGAATGGACATCTGGTTGAGCCAATAAACAATAAACTGTAATTCAAATTATTTCCTACAAATGTTGATTAGCTAACATAGTGACTGTCAATTATGGGAAGTGGTGGCAGGGAAATGGATGCTTCTTGTTTAGCTTTGTCCTCACAATTGCCCCAATCCAATGTACTTTTCAACAACACTCTTCACACACACACAGCATATACACCCCCCCCCCACATACATATTTGTCACCAAATAACTCTCTGGATATCCTGCAAGTTTAAACAAATTAAAATCACAGTTCCAATAATGAACAGATCAATAAAACTCATAATAGAAACAGCCCCTTCCCCTCAAAGCAAGCAAGGATGTCAAGCCAGAGAATGGCTGTCATTGCCTTACAGAGAGAGACACAAGACGATATTCTCTGAGCTAAAATAGTGCTGAATATCTGGCTGTGACCCTGTGCAGCCACTTACTAAGTGTGCTCGAAGCATCTGTTTAGTCCTCTCATATGAAAGGGGAAAGTCACATATTTACTTAAATCATTTTATCACATCGAGCAATTAAAAATACATTCAGCATTTTAAATAATGAAAGGAAAACAAAATTCAGCAGCTTAGTAACATTCGCTAAAAGAGCAGAGTTAAATTATCGGCAATTTTAATAGCTTTGGTAAGTAAAAAGGCATTTCTTTAGCATTTAAAATCTATTAAGGGCACGATCCTATGCATATTTAGACAGAAAAAGTCCTACAGCTTCAGCCAGCAGGGCTGGTTGGGACATGCTGTGAACTGTAGGTGCTTCATCTGTCCAACCGTGCATAGGATGTGCCACAAGAGAACACTTACAGCCCCTACTCTGTGACTGACTCCAGACAACGCGACAACTTAGCTCTTGAGTGTGGGTTGTTGCAGAACCATGGATTGTCTGATGTCTGAACCCTGCTGCATTAAGAAGCTATGACTTGTTAACCATGAAAAGCCCATGAACTGAATCCTGTTGCTCTGAAGCAAGAGAAACTGCCTTAAGCGCAGAGTTTTCATCATTTGATGCTCTAAGGAGAAAGGCTCTTAAGAAGGAATGGCGCAGTAGCAGCAGCCATTGGACTGCTCAACTGAAGCCGAAGAAGCAAAGTCTAATACTGCTGACATGAGCAATTACTGCTCTGTGCTATCTCTCTAAATATCCACCCTTCGTCTCAGCGCAATACATCTCCAGCTTCTTAATTAGCTAGCTCAAGTATAGCAATTAAACACTCCAGCTAAATTAGTTTCTTTTGCTCTTGATTTCTGCAACATGCCCAAATTGTACTTCAAAGCTGGCCTTTCTAGTTTGCAATCAAGCTAATAGTTGGAGCATCGGTGTCCGTCTGCCTTGGAAGAGGGAGAGGGGCTTGAAGAACGTTCCAATGGCAGGACCCTCTCCTTCAGCTTTCTTCCATGTGGGCAGCTTGATCCTGTTGTCCCTGTCCTCACCATTCTGTCCCTAGGCATGGAAATGCAAACCTGAAACTTAGAGTAGGCTGTAGTTAGCCGATCGCAGCTACGCAGCAGTGGCCAACGTTCCACCTAACTCTCATCTCACTTTGTAAGAACATAGATTCACAGAATCATACAGTTGGTAGGGGACTAGAAAGTGTGTGCATCTGTGAGTGTATTAGCCTTTGAGATACCTTGGGAACCTTTATTAGCTTTATGTCTCTTTGAAGAGTTTCTTCCACTCAGTTTCAGCTCTAACTGCTGCAGAACTCACAACTGATTATGTAAGTTACTTTGAGGCCTGCCAAATTGTCCATTCATGTCTAATGGAGAGAACAGTTGATTAAGTAAAAGTGCAGCTGTTTTTCTTTTATGGGCCAGTCCGTTGCTAAACTGCAGGGAACAAGCAAACGTGCTCCTGAATGAGAAGTGTGTTCTTACAAACATGCTTTCAAGCTGCCATAAATGCAACCTGCTATGCTCAGATGTCTGGATAGGGAAGCAATTCGCTCAAAGATACATGGACACTGAGACCACAGGTGCAAATATAGAGCAATGGAGCAGAGCAATAATTCCTCGTGTCAGCAGGATTAGATAGTGCTTCAAGATTGCTCAAGGTTCAGGTGAGCAGCTCCGTGGATGGTATAACCACAGTACCCTTCCTGGCCTGTATATGGGTAGCGATCTGGAGACCTTAAGGAATAAGGCATCTGCCATGAGCTAAGTCCTCTCCTTCTTCCCTTAGGTTCCAAAACACTAGACACTCCCTTTGCAAAGATAGGCGCTTTGCAGCTACAAGACAAAGCAACTCCCAAAGCCCTTCAGTGAGCTTGAAAGCTTAGCCTCTGCTCACATCCAGAAAGAGAGTTGAGCCAAACTGGGCCTGCTCCCAAAATCCTTCCCTTTCAGTAACTGCGTGGACTCCACCCTCAGGGTGGGTCTCACTGGTGAAGGGCCAGCCAGCAAGACCCACACATGCCCTCTAACTGGGAAGCTCATTTTCCCCGACACCTCATCACAGGGCCAGGGACTGGGCAAGGCAGCAGCGCCCCCGCCCCCTGTCCTCCTTCGACTCCTACTGTTTCTTCCAAAACATTCCCTCTCCCCTGGTTGGCCTGGGCCCCGTGGGCAGCAACCTTGAGGGTGCTTCAAAGGCCTGTGCTTCTCCCTGGGTTCCCAGAACTGCCATCTGCACTTCTTCCGGGTTTCTTCCTCCTCCTCCAGAATCGCCGTGTAGGACATGGTGGAGTAACCAGCAGGGGTTAAGTTTGCCAGCCGGCATCATTGGTAATGAAAGTGTAGGAGTGATCCTGAGTCATTCTGAGTAATGTGTGACATGTGGTGAAGACTTAGCACAGTGGCAACCTGTAGTGGTCAGAGAACAGTTTCCTACTATAGCAAATTGTAACCATTCAGAATTGTATAAAAGGTTGGTGAACCCTTTCAGGGCCAATTGCTCTTCGTTTGCGATAGACCCTATTCTCTGGAGAACCGTGCGGGGCCACTTGCCATGTTTTATTGGGCGGGCATGCCAAGACCGAACCTGTTTTGCGGCCAACACCAAATGCTGATGACCCTGGGAAGTCTGCCAAGAGTGCCAGCTGGTTTCATGCACCGCAGCATCCTCTTGAGTAGGCTCAGCAAAAGGTTAAAAGAAAACTTAATCTTCCATGATTGTTTTAAACCAGGTTTTATCTATCTTGGTTTAAGAATTGTTAGCTACCTTGAGTATATTTTCTTTAGTGGAGATAAGCAAATAAAAAGCTGTTCTTGTGCCACTGGACTAGCACTGTATTGTTGGTTCTCCCTTTCTAGTCAGACAGACCCCCACCTTGGCTCCTGGGGGATGAACGGGGTGAGTCCCAAGTTAGGGATTAAGACCAGTCCGGGTGTAATACTTCCTCCAGACAGGTGGCTTCTTGAGTTGGGATACCTTCCCATGTCATAGATGGACTCAGTAAGTTATTGCCTTTCCTGAATCTCTTTTGGTTCTGGGGCCAGTAAAAAGGCCCTCCTCTTATCTTGCGATTTCATGCATTTCAAGGTTGGCCCCACCAGGAAAGTGGTGGAATAAGACATGCATAATGAAATTATGCCCTTTTTATTTTTAAAACACTGATTCTTGCTTTATTTTTTATTGCTCACTGCTTATTTATTGGAATTTATTGGGTACAAATGCTATAAATAAAATATAAATAAAAATTTGAGCCAATAATGAAACCATCAGTGACCTAGTAAATAATATTTATTCTTTAAAAATGTCTCTTTTCTCCAGGCTGTTGGCTGTGATTATGAGATTGATTCCAATGCAACTGAAGATCAATGCGGAGTTTGTCTAGGAGATGGTTCCTCTTGCCAGACGGTGAAGATAACATTCAATCAAAGTGAAGGATTAGGTAAAGAAAGGGCTTATCAGATCACTTTGCTTCAGCCATTGTAATACACAACAAGAAAAATGACCTAGGTCAGGGGAGAAAAAGTGGAAATCTTTATAATCGAATAGGAGTTTCAGACATCAAAAAACAGACCTCCACAATATAACTATTTAGCCATGGTAATTAGCCAGTGGTGCAGTTAGTTAAAACAGAAGGTTATAAATGTCTCTATTTTCTCCCTTCCATCTTTTATCCTAGATGTGATAATTCTTTAAGAATGCCTATTTTTCTGTTATAGTGAAGGTATAAAATACCTTTACAGAGGCCCCCAATGTGAAACCTGGAAGCTCTCAGACTTGTTGATCCTTTTTAAATATACATCCATGGATTCATATGAAGTACATCCAGCCTTCTAGCAATCATACAGAAGCATAATCAAAAGTGGGCTTATTTCGACATGGCCCAGTAGCCAAAGTTCTCTAGGCAGTTCACAACTATTAATCAAATACAAAAGAGACAATAAAAATACAAAAGCATTAAAACTAAAAGATGCTTGCTCCTGGGGAGGAAAGCTATGGCAAATCTAGACAGCATACTAAAAAGCAGAGACATCACCCTGCTGACAAAAGTGCGTATAGTCAAGGCTATGGTTTTCCCAGTTGCAATGTATGGCTGTGAAAGCTGGACCATAAGGAAGGCTGAGCGCAAAAGGATTGAGGCCTTTGAATTGTGGTGCTGGAGTAGACTCCTGTGAGTCCCTTGGACCACAAGGCAATCAAACCGGTCAGTCCTGGAGGAGATCAACCCTGACTACTCTTTAGAAGGCCAGATACTGAAGATGAAACTCAAATACTTTGGCCACCTAATGAGAAGGAAGGACTCACTGGAGAAAAGCCTAATGCTGGGAACAATTGACGGCAAAAGAAGAAGGGGACGGCAGAGAATGAGGTGGCTAGATGGAGTCACTGAAGCAGCTGGTGTGAGCTTGAGTGGACTCCGGGGGATGGTGGAGGATAGGAAGGCCTGGAGGAATGTTGTCCATGGGGTCACAGAAACAGAGAAACAGAGTGAGTCAGAAGGGGTCTCCTGGGCCATCTAGTCTGACCCCCAGCTCCAGCTGGATCTGCTCATGACATGCCTACCATGTGCATGTGTAGTCTATCTTTGAATACTGTCACCGACAGGGCCTCAACCACCTGCCATGGAAGCCCATTCCACACCCTCGGGGTCCTAACTGTCAGAAAGTGCTTCCTGGCATCTAAATTGAACTTGGGTTCCCTGAGCTTTGCTCCGTTGGAGCGCGTCCTGCCTTCCTCTGCAGGGGAGAACTGGTCTCTACCCACCTCCGTGTGAGACCCCCTCACATACCTGTATGTCACCAACAGATCCCCTCTGAGTCTCCTCTTCTCCAGGTTGAAGAGACCCAGTTCCCTCAGTCTCGCCTCATACTGCATCCCCCGCGATGGGTTGGGTTGTGATGGGCCAGATGTGACTTTGCAACTAACAACAACAGTAAAATTCTAATGTGCAGATTTGAATTCCAATACACAAAAATCTAAAACCAATACCATGGGGATCCTCCATCAGATATGTGCCACCATGTTTGTGGGTTGTTCCAAGAAGGCTACCTACAGGTTTTCCTACAGTTGGCAGAGCCTCCTCCAAGGGTTTTAATACTCATAGGGATATATGCTGGCAAAGAGATCTGTTGGAAGGTGAACTTGACTCCAAGCTCTTCAGAGTTCTCTGTGTCATGACTTCGTGGGTGGCTCTGTAATTGGTAGGTAGTCAGTTGCTTCAACATTTTATGTGTGCATGGCCAAGCACTGCACCCCGCATCACAGAAACAGAGTAAGTTAGAAGGCTCCTGGGCCATCTAGTCTGACCCCCCCCCCCCAGCTCCAGTCAGCTCCACTCATGATGTGTCCACCATGACTGCCTCATTTTTCACCAGCTGCTTCCAGACCAAGCATGAGGGAGCCATGCATGAAGCTCGTTACAGTGTTCTGAATGGGATGCTAGTAGCATATGGAGTACAGAGGCCAGGCCATCCCTGTCCAGAGAAGGGCATGCTTGACTTCCTGAGAAGGTGGCTCTGTCCTGGGGCAAAGTGAGCCTTTCTGTTAACCGTCTAACAGCCTACCTTCTATGGCTGCCACAGGGGACAAAGCAGCGAAGAGCAGCTGCCACTGCACTTCAGAGAAGGGTCCCAGGGAGGGAGCAGAGGTGGAGTGAGTGGGAACTGGGTGTCATTTGCTGGTCCATCTCCAGCGACAAAATGTCTTGGGCAGCCCTGCTTCTCCAGCTTCTCCGGATGATGTTCTTGAAAGGAGGAGAGTTCAGCCCAATGTTTTCTGCAGTTGATTTAAAAGTTTGCAGCATTTAAGTAAATGTTTCTTTTTAAAAAACAGATGGGGATATGTGGTCCTGCAGATGCTGTTGGACTGCAATACTCATTAGCTTCAGCTAGTGTAGCCTAAAGTGAGGCGATGGGAGTTGTAGTTCAACAATATCCAAAGGGTCATGGGTTCCTCATCCCTGATGTAAATAGTATTTCAAACCAGTATGATTTAATGTCTAAGGCTGCAATCAAATGCACGTTTACCTCTTAAATCCTGCTGAACACAGTGAAACTTACTTTGTAAATTGCTTCATTATGGAAATTGCGTTGTGGGCGGTAAATTGCATCATTATGTTTTTTAAAATTATTTGGTTAAAAATGGAAATTGGAAAGATTATATGCTGGAAAAACTCAGTTAAAAATCAGTGGTGCTTTCTTTGGAGTAAACACAGATGAGATGCAATTGGTTTGATAGTCTAAGAGGGCTTGACAATAACAACCCTGTAGGTTTCCGTTTTCTGGTCTGTAGTTGCTCAGCCATGCCATCCTCCTGGGGTTTGTTGAGTAACCAAAACTGGCTTCTCCTCCTATCAATCAGCCTTTATATGATTGATCCCAGTTCCTGTGTTGTGGTTCCTCCCACGGCTGACCGAATGTGACTGTCCCAGCAAGTCTACCTCAAGGCTCGGCAGAAAAGGAAAACATGCGACAGTTTTTGCATAACTCGTCCTAACTGGAGCTGGACGAGGGCTATGATTCGCAGCCATTGTTTCCGGCCTATTGCCAGGGTGCAGGAGTCGGATATGGGCAGCAAGCAAAAAGACAGGGGTACCACGCCCAGGGCAACAGAACCCAAGGTGAGACAGGACCCAAAGTCCAAAGGCAAGGTTTATTGGCAAGTCCAAGTCACAGTCATTGTACAGGCCAAGGTCAGGAACCAGGAAGACAAACAGAGGTGCTGGTACCTTGACTGGGCAGGTACACAGCAAAGATGCAGGCACAACAGTAAACAGGGAGGCCTGTGACGCTGAGGCAACATGGCAAGGTGAGATACACAGCAAGATGCAGGAGAGCCGGAAAAGGTCAGGCAGGATACAGGCATGACAGCAAACCTGTGATGCTGAGCCAGTTCTGGAGGAAAGAGCTTGCTTGTACTTTGCTCTTCCCCCAGGGGTCCCCGCGGGTGCTCGTCAGGAGGCTGAGTGCTCCAGCAGGGCCTGGGGCCTATCCTGCAAATATATAGGTGGCCACCAGAGCAGCCCAGATCCTGACATCTATTAATATAAAAATTCAATTTCTGTTTACCAGGAAAGGGGACAGAAAGCAGAAATCTTTGAGTTGAGATAGTGGTGGGATTTATTTATTTATTTATTTATTTATTTATTTATTTATTTATTTATTTATTTGGTGAAAAGAGAATCTTACCTCAATTGACTATTTAATTTTCTAATAAAATAACTTCATGCTGATTGAAAAAAGACAGCAAATAGAGAAAGATTCCCATTTGCCATGTCAGCCACCTCATTTTATCTGCGGATTTGCTGCTGCTTTCAGGTTCTGTGGGTCCAGAGTTGCTGTCAAAAAACCTGCAGTGATGCTGGTCTTTAGTTTTTACAGACCTTCAGCATATTTATCAGGGAGCCCTGAATAGGAATATACATGTAGGCTGCTCTCCATTGCAGATGTAGGCTGTTCAATTTCTTAATGAAATGTGGCAATAGGAAAAATAAACTCCTGATTCATTATAGCCCACAAAAACTTAGTACATCTGGTCCTCTTTGATCATTCTTTCATCTTAAATGGGCCTGGGGAAGTATATTTTTCTTCTGAATTTTCCAATCAGATGTGCGCTTACTGCCATGGAACAGTTGTGTCTTCTGAATGGCCTGAGAGAATACTGGAATATATTCTCCAAATGCTTCGCTGCGTTCTTCTTATTGAGGAACATGAAATCTTGTCTAATCTCCAAGGTTGTTACCTGCAGGTTGCCTCTGTGACTAAAATTGTGCTACAGAATATTTTCCTGTTAACTCTCTGGTTATAAGAGTTCTTGTTACTGGAAAATCATCTAATAATACATTGCAGATCACTGTGACAAATTAAAGAAAGATTAGGAATGCTGGTGAGGTAGTGGCAAGGCCAGTCTTTGAGGTGGAGGTGTGTTGGTGCAGTAGTGGGAATCTGCAGGCCTGTGAACCAAATCCAGCCTTCCTGAGGCCCCAGTCTGGCCATCCAGGGTTCTGCAGAAAGCCATTTCCTATCCCCAGCCCCCAACCACTGAAGGTTTGCTGGTTTCCCAGCTTCTGGGCAGTTTTTCCTTTTCTAAAAGGCAAAATGCTTCTCCAAATGTTTAATTACTGACAGTAAGCACTTTAAAATATGCTGGGGATTTCCTACTTTTTCATGTGGGGGAGTGTTTTGTGGTTCTACACCTTTTCCTCCCCCCCCCCACTTTGAATTTGGGGCCGTCCACCATTGGAAGCCAGAAATAACTGAGAGCTTCACCAAAGTGGGATTCTGTGCTTGGATTAGAAGAGGCTACTAGTGCTTCCTTAGAGGGATTGGCTTGGAATTTCATCACTGCCAGGTTGTTTCAATTTGTCATTGGTCCCACATTTTTGGGAGGGCATACCCTGTCTGAAGAAAACTAGCTCCCACTTTTCCACTTCCCCAAAAGTTCTGAAAAAGGGCAGGAAAGGTTCAGGACTTTGAGCAGTCAGGGCCAAAGAAAAAAATTGGGGCAGATGATCTACTGGTGAGGCCCTTTCATAAGCAAAGAGCCCTCACATTTTCACTTTCCCTTGACAGCTCACCATTTGACAGCTGTCAGGAGAGCACAAAGTGAAAATGCAGCTGCTCTGAGTCAAGGTCGACTGTTGGTGACTCCTGCATTTTGACACGAGACACCTCCCAGGTGGTGCTCTGTGTGTGTGTGTGTGTGTGTGTGTGTGTGTGTGTGTGTGTGTGTAGACAGAAATGTTTGCAAACATTTCTTATACCTAATAATTTTTGAAATGCATGGTAAAACAGTGACATCTGCTTGGGCATTTTGCAGTGGCTGTCACTGTGGAGATTGTGACAATTTTTTAGGAGAAAACGCCATGGTGGGCAGTAAAGGACTTAAGATCACAACTGTCAGCATCTGGGCCATGGGCAGCTGACTTGCAGATGGGGCCCTGACCCAGGCAACCAGGGCACAGCACAAGGGTCAGTCCAAGGGCACAGTCACACAGTCCAAAAGTCGGAGCCAGCAAGCACAAGGGCCAAGTCCATTCAGGAGGTAAATGGGGCCAGACAAGCCAGCAAGCCAAGAAGACAAGCTGAGGGAAACAGGTATCTTGAGGGCTGGAGCAAGATCACAGGCAGAGTTCCAGGAACAAAGTCCCAGCATCCACAGCCCAGGAGCACTCAAGCAACTCAGGAAGCCTTTGTTGCCAAGGGAGCTTCTGAAGGGAAGAGTCACTGCTGCTTATATACGTAGCTCTTCCCCAGGACTCCCAGGTGGAGCTCATGAGAGCCCTGGCAGCTGCAGTCGAGTGTGGTAATCCTGCAACTGCCAGGGCTGCTGTGCTGGTCCTTGACCAGCAGAGGGAGTCCTAAAGCTGCCTCCGGTCTTGACAACAATAAACAGCCCTGAGCCAACTATCGCTGGTCCTCCTGACACCTCTTGCCCATGGCTGCAGCTGCTGCTTTTCCTAGCTAGCAGTTCCTAGCTGTTTTTCCCGGCTGCTGCTGTTTTTTCCTAGCCGGCACTCTGAGAAGTGCAATTCATATTAAAAACTGCAACCATGGTGGGATGGAATGAAACAGATTTCTCTTACCTTGGCAACTTGGTTGCTGCAGATAAACTGGAGGATGTACATGGGTGAACTTTGTTTAAGCTCATCCATCTGTGCTTATGGACTCTTTCTCCTTCATGGATGGATGGATGGATGGATGAGCCACTGTGGCACGTGGTTAGAGAGTTAGTTTGCTCATCCATGAAGCTCACTGGGTGGCTTTGGACCAGTCGCTCACTGACCCAGCCTATCCCACAGCACAGGGTTCCTCACAGGAGGAAAAGAGGAAGGATATAAGTACGAAGTCATCAGCATCAGCTCATCTCTCTCTCCTGTTCACTTTCATGCATGGATACCTGCATTTTTAAACAAGTCCAGAGATCCCCTTCTGAATACGTTGTGCCTTTTTCGTTGTCCTACCCCCTCTGCCGCATTGCCAGAAATGAACAGAACACTTTTCCATGGGTGTGAGAATGGTCACTCAACCTTCAATCTTTATTTATTTATTTTATTACATTTTTATACTGCCCCATAGCCATTTGGGCTTTCTGAGCAGTTTACAAATTTAAACATATAAAAACAATAAATAATATTAAATAAACAACGGAGAATAAAAGCAATACAACAAAACATAGACAATTCACAGTGACTATAAAAATAATGCAGACTATAGCAGCAATAAAAACATGATTAAAATAAATCTTAACTAGGAAAATATCAGGAAAATAAAATTTTTGGTGCCAAAAAGAGAACAAAGATGGCTCCAGGCACACTTCCTTGGGGATCATGTTCCAACAAATGGGGTGCTACCATGGAAAATGCCTTTCTCCTTGTCATCATCCCTCTAGCTTCTTTTTTTGCGGGGAGGGGGAGAATTCCCTGAGAAGGATCTCAGCAGAAGATCTCTGGGGCCAGGTAGGAACATACAGAGCAAGGTGTTCCTTCAGGTAACAATCATTTATTTATCTAGCTCAGGTTTCTGCATTTCTTTCCCCCTTCCTCCCAAGTTCCCTACTTGCCAACCGTCAGTCCGTATCCCGGGCCAGCTGAGCACATTCAGTCCTCATGGTCCATCTGCACAGCCTGGGGTCCTGCCCTCCTACCTTTCTCTTTTATGTAGTTGGTACTGTTTCTGCTACAAAATCATCATCACTCCCAGAATTAAAAAGAAATGATGTTGACTTAATTGACCCGAATGACACCTAAAGATACTTATGCAGAGCAACATTATTCTCTTCTGTACATAGGGCTTCTCTACGTGAAGCTTTTAAGCAGCACTATAATACGGTTTCTGCATCCAGGTTCCTTGTGAGTTTGCATTACCTGTGTTCCTTTATGGGTGCTTCCTTCCCTCTGGTTTTTCTTTCTCTGCCTTTCGGTATGTTCCATTATACAGCCACATAGTGGTGCTGCAATATAGCAAAACTATGAAAATAAATGCGTTTGCCTTCGCACTATTTCCAGGTAAAATCAAATTCAGTTTAAAAGGAAAAAGCCATAGGAAAGCACACAAGAGGCCCTGGGGGACAACAGTGTGTGAAGCACTCACAACATGCGTGAGAAGTTGCAAGTGCAGAATTAATGCCTCACACAGAGAAGCTGTTCTCTACAAGAGGGCACAGCACGGATCCTTTTTGGATTCTGGAAGGTGCATTAACTCGTTCAGACTAGTGGGTGCTTTTTCTCCCTGCGCAGGTTATGTTGATATTGGCCTGATTCCGAAAGGCGCAAGAAACATCCGAATAGAAGAAGTGGCGGAAGCAGGGAATTTCCTTGCCTTGCGGAGTGAAGACCCAGCAAAGTATTACCTAAATGGAGGGTTTATTATCCAGTGGAATGGAGACTACAAGGTGGCTGGAACCATATTTCAGTATGGGAGGAAAGGCGACCAGGAAAACCTCACTGCCCCTGGACCCACGAACGAATCTTTGTGGCTACAGGTACGCCAGCGAGTCCTGGGAGAAAGTGGCTTTATGTAGCAGATAGCTGTGAGAATGAGATGCGCTGCAGTTTTCTATGCCTTTACCAGTTGTGGGATAGGAGAGAGAATTTCAACAGGTGCAGTTTTTCTCACCTCTGCATGACAAGCTGCACCTGATGGTTCTCTGCACTTTTTGTATCTGTGTCTCTTTTCCATTCTCCCTCCTGCCCAGTTCTCAGGTGTTTTCCTCTCAGGCAGCATCCCAGAGGAACCAAGCATGCTGTGTTCCCATTGGACTATTTTGGGGTGCCCCAGGAATGGGATTTCCCCACCCTAACGCTTCTTAGCACTTCTGAAAAGCTTGAAGTGCCATGAATCTACTGATGTTTTTGTCTTCCATGTTGGGTTTGCTGCTGTGGTGTAAACATGCCATGGATGAAATCAGAGCCAGAGGGAATCTTCTGACTGCAGTTCGAAATCATTCTCACTGTAGCCGGATGCCACAACCAAGGGCTCGTGTGGGATGGTGCTGATAGTAGGACTGGGGCTCAGGAGAGCTGGCTCTAGGCTGCTCACTTGGTGACAATGTGGATGGGAGGCTAAAATGGAGAAGAAGAGCATCACTGAAGCCACCTGGAATTTCTTGGAAGAGGGGGAGGAGCAGGATATACTTACGTGTTGTTGTTTTGTTTTGTTTTGTTTTTATTAGATAAAAATATTTACCTATTTTTTATTTATTCTGCCTTTTTACTTTTTAAAGAACTCAAAACACCTTACATCATTCTTGTCCTTATACTCTCAATCTTATCCCCACAACAACAACCCTGTGAGGTAGGCTGGGCTGAGAGTCTGTGACTGGCCCAAAGTCACCCAGTTGGCTCCATGGCTGACCAGGGACTAGAACCCAGATTGTCTGAGTCCTAGGCTTGTGTTCTTAACCAGTACACAAACTGGCTGTCACGGGATGCTATTTAAAAAAGGTAAATTCTTGTATTTCTCACTCAGGCGATAAACCTTTAACTGAACTATCTTATTTCAGACTACAGATGCCTGTGCATGCGATTGAATGGTTTTCCATGCAAAAATAAATAATCCCCTCAGATTAAAAAACCCCCCCCGCACATCAGGGAGAAAGCTACGCTAGAATCCATCTTCCTAATTTATGTTCTATGAGATGTTTTTCTGGGATGGAGGAGCACTCAGTTGTGTGAAGAGCCATCTGCAGTCTGAAGTCATATAATCCAGGCACCTCCAGAACATTCTGGACAACCTTGTTGGTGAACTGAGTTAAGTGTCTTTCAAAATACACCTGATCCAATCCCAACCAATTCATGTATACATAAACTTTTTGCTTAAGAGAAAGAAGGGTTTTTTTGCCACTGTTCTTTATAGAGGTGGGGAACTTGTGTGGCCTTTCAGATGTTGTTGGAGTACATTTCCCATCTTTCCCAGCCAATGACCATGCTAGTTGAGTCTGAAGAGGCAAATTCCAACAACCTCTGAAGGGACACAGGCTTAGAACCTTGCAAACAACCAAATTCAGGCTTTCTCACTTTCATGTTTGGTGCCGTTTTGTGATCAAGACTGACAATACACCACATTATTTTCAGCTCCTGTTCCAAGAAAATAACCCTGGAATAAAATACGAATATACTGTTCGTAAAGACTGGAGCTCTGAGAATGAAGTAGAAGAGCCTGAGTATTTCTGGCAATACGGAAGCTGGACAGGTTGCAGCGTAACGTGTGGGCGGGGTAAGCCATATTCATGCGGCCATCTGCCTCTTTCTGCCGGCTGCTGTGGCTTCACTGTTCGTTATCCCTACGGCACGCCAGCCGGGGAACGAGCCGGCTGTGTGGGCTTGACATAAGGAACTGGATTAACACCTGGATTGGAAGTCATGCCCTTGGAGAGGCCACCCTGCTTTTAAAAAACTAGACAAAATACAACTTTGAGAGCTGCCTGTGATTCTGCTGATTACTGGTTCATTGAAACCGGTCCCCAGACAATGATGGATTGTCCCACCCCAGACAATGCTGCAAAGAGCTTTTTCCATAGGATGAAATTAATGGAACTGTTTGCATTTCTCTATGTTACATAGTAACAAGCAGCAATATTTACCCATGTTTTTTAAAGATACATAATTGTTTTTAAATCAAATTAGAAAACACATTCAACATTTGTACCATTCTCTAAGAGCCTTCTAACAAATGGTGAGTGATGGAGCTCTGTGCTAGTACCGGTCAGTGGCTCCCCCATGGAGTAATCAAGCGACTGCTGATCTTTACCAGAAGTGGCTGCTAGGCAGGCAGATGGAGGAGGTGGGTGCACAATCAGCATGGGCAAGCGTGCGTTGCTGACTGGCTAGCTGTCTGGACCGTGCTTGCATGTGGCGTGCCTAGCCCTCTGCTGCCACCTCCTGCTAGTTTCTCCTAAGGGCAATAATTCCCATCCTATCTCAATTACTGTGCGAATGGAGGTTCTTACCAGCACACTACTTGTTGTTGATGTTTTAAACACTCACACAGATTGGTCCAATTTGGGAATAACAACAAGCAATGATTTATAATTAAGTGCATAAGACCCGTGCACATGTATTCTCGCTAATGTGTAATTACGTGCATGAGACTTCTGCTACATGTGCTGTGGCCATCTGGCAGAGAATGGAAGCATTCACTTTCTAGTCCAATTAATCTCTTTAGCATTGTGTCCAGATGCTAAACTCTGGTTGATCTTAGCTAATAAGCAAACTTCAGACCTGTGTTCAAGGTGGCTTTTTTCAAATATGGTTCAGATTTCAGGCCAAACTTCAGTTAGTCTAAACAGAACCAGCAAGAGCTTCTGAGCAACTCCTCCCACCGGTGCTGAAGAGGAGAGGAGTGATGAGACTTTGGGAAGGGTAGGCTTATCCTCAGAACATCTGAAGGAAGTCACTATCTCAGCAGCCCTTCAACTGTCATGTTGCAATATTATCCCATAGGACTGAGGACGAGGATCCGTCGCTTCCCTCAGAGCAGCTAATGAGACCGTGGCTAATATAATGTTTGATCCACACACTTACCATACCATAAGCACCAATTCTCTCCACTATGCATTGCAACATCAATTCAACTTTCTTAGATTAATTTGTTGTTGTAAATAAATGTATGCTGTCTCATGATTATAAAAAGTTTTTATAGAAGAAAGACTGCAAGAAATTCCAAGACTGGGGCTTAGAAAGGCAGCAGTGAAGGACCTAGAAAGAGTGTAAGGACATTTCACTGGAGAGTAAGGCCAAGCTGCACCATTGTATTCCCGATTACTAAGTATGAGTGTGAAAGCTGAAGAGGGAAGAAAGCTGAACAGAAGAAAACTGATGTGTTCAAAAGGAGCTGTGGAGGAGAGCTGTGTGAATACCCCGGGCTGACAGAAAGATGAATAAGGGGGCCCTAGACCAAACCAAGCCAGGCAAGACTCTCTGGAGAAGACAGTAATGCTATGAGATGGCTTAATTCCATAAAGGAAGCCACCACCTTGAATGCAAAGTGCTCAGTGTTGTGAGCTAAGGGTTTTTCTCCCTTTGCCCATTCAAGGCAACAGACTGTTCTTTTGCAAAAGGCTCTTTGTTCACCAAAGTTTGCCCAATAAACTCCATCACCACAGAGTGTATGCACAAAGCAATTTGTTGAACCCAATCTAAAGAACTGCTTCTGAAAACCCTCCTTTTGAGTATATCTCGGCCCAATCTCCTCAGGAGGGCCTGTTTGGAAGCAAGCATGCCTTTTCTCTGAATGCTGGCCCCCTGGTTGGCTAGCTCTCCTCTCTGGTTGCCACCTCGTGGAGTCAGGCGTCACACCAGGCTCATCAGACTCTGAGAGCAACTCTGTCCCACCCAACAGCCGTGCATCTTGGCATGTCTTGCTTTCAGGCTTCCATCTGTCTGCCGTGCAGTCAGTGGTGAATCTGCTTCTCTACATGAGGTGTAAGACCCAGCATTTTATTGAGGGCTCTTCTTCCTTTTTTTTTTTTTTTTTTTGTGGGATGGTTACAGCATCCTCACAATGTTTATTTTCCCCCACTGAGGGTTTGCTTCCCTGCCTTCTTTCTGTCTCTGCATCTTCCATTAGGCAGTACAAGGTAGCACTGTGGAATGGAGCAGAACTCCAAAAATACACTTAGTTTTTACAGCAAATCATGGCATGGTTTAGGAAAACAGCAGACTTTTTTCCTCTAAAGATAGTGCAAATGGTGGGAAGACTCAGAAGAGGCCCTGGGAGGTTAACCACCCTGGGAAAAGGCCCTGAAAACGGTGAGTGAGAGATTGCAAGTGCATAATCCATGCCTTGTGCAGGGACGCCTTGGACTAACATTGTGAGGGTGTGGTCTCCTCATGGCCAAGAGGTTCTGTGCTAGGCAAGACGACTTCTGCCTCAGGTTCTCCTTGAGCATCTTTGGAAGTCTGGCCCTGCAGGCCAGAATACTGCAAAAATTCTGAAGGGAGATAATGGAATGCAATGCAGTTCCTAAGGATACAGCGGGCAGGTGTGGTGGGTCCTGGGGTCTCCCACGGCATTGCTTGGGCATCCCTGCAGATGGGCCACTCAGCAGTGGGTAGCCACACGTGGAGGCTGCCTTTAGCTTTGTGGTGCCACATGGGCAGAGCAATGGCAGTGGCAGCAGCCAAGCTAACCACTGATCGCATCTCTTGGCACCTGCCGTTTTAATCCCTCCCTCAGTGCCTCTGATATGACAATGGAGCATCACTCTGTAATGTCGGAGAGGAATGAAAAGCAGCCGTGGTGCTGAGAGAAGCTGAAGCTGCAAGTGGAGTCAGTGGCAGGGCAGGCAGTGGACCTCCAAGCACCTGGGCCATCAGAAAGTGCCCTCCGCCCTCCTCGATTAAAGAGCTGCTTTCCCACATACGAATACTCACCTGCATGAAGTCAGGCATTGCAGAGTTGCCTCTGAATACAGCATGTTCTTCTGTCTTGCAGGTTTCCAGAGACAAACTGCCCGCTGTGTGAAAAGGGGGAAAGGTGTGGTGAAAAATGTGTTCTGTGATCCAGAAACACAGCCAAATGGAAAGCAAAAGAAGTGCATTGAAAAAGATTGTCCACCAAGGTAGCACACATGTGTGTGTGCATGTGAGCACGTGTGGGAATGTGTGTGTGTGTAAGTGAGAAGATAGCCATAGAAACTGATGACAATAATCTGTCAGAAGAAAGTCTTTCTAGGGCCCCAGACCATACAAAATTAAAAACACAATAAACTATGCAATTTTTAAAAGAGCAAATAAAACAGTATAGATGATGATGATGATGGAGGAGGAGGAGACTAAGGTCTCCTTCAGACTCTTCTAAGGCAACTCACTGACTCAAGTCATACATCAGGATAAGTCACTCAGGTGGGGCTCTGAGACACACACTTGCTGCCATTTTGAATGCTTGGATAGAGTTATCCTGGGGTGGTTTATCCCTCAAATAACACAGAACATTTAGGTTAACATAGCAAGCTGTACTGCACCCCCATCATAACTTGCATGTTCAGAATGGTGGACAGTGTCCATCTCAGAGACTTGCAAACTAATTAACCCACTGTGAGCTGTTATGCCATGCAAACGGGCACTCTGTCTTGGCCTCAGCTGCACCTCTGCCAGGTAGCCTTCCTTAGATTGTATTTGCAAAGATAACCATGAGATGTTGAGAAGCACTTTCAGTGCTCTTACAAAACATTGCAGAAAGTGTAATGATATGCTGGATGTTAATAAGAAAACTTCTTTCAACTTACTACTTCACTAAGGCGAGCAGGAGTGGTATCATCAGAAAGTGGAAAGGTGCAGAAAAGTAACACATGGTGTATGAGAAACCTGTGACAGCCCGCTTCCTGTGGGAAGAGTGCGTCTGGAGATGGTCTTTCAATGAACAGTGATGAGCAGTCCTGATAACGTCAACCGTTGGTCCTGTCCTCTTCCTTATTCCCTGGTTGCATGTTTGAAAACTCCAACCTCTCAGATTAACCCGTGTTGTAGCTTTCAAATATTTTCACCGTCTGGTGGGCATCTTGCTAGCAATTAGTATCTAACAACAAGCCGAACATTCTCAAGCAGATGTGGTTTCTGTACACCAAATTTGAACTCTGAGAGATTTGGCAGCCGCTTTAAATGTACTGGAGTGCAATCTGATTTACTGCTGTTGCATAAACACAGCAGGACCAGCCCTGCCATTAGGCAGAACAAAGCAAAAAGCTGAAGGATGGAGCTCAGAGTGCCACACATCCTGCCCCAGCTGTGCCCCCCAACCCAAGGTGCCTGAAGGACCTTGTCCGGTCACCAGCACTGAAGTGAGATCCAACTCCTATTCAGTTTCTCTCTCTTAGAAACATAGAAACAGATCAAGTCAGAAGGGGTCTCCCAGGCCATCTAGTCTGACCCCCGGCTCCAGCCGGCTCTGCTCACGACATGCCTACCCTGTGCATGTCCAGCCTATCCTTGAACACCCTCGCCGATGGGGCTTCAACCGCCTCCCGTGGAAGCCCATTCCGTACCATCGGGGTCCGAACTCTCAGGAAGTACCTCCTAGCATCCAAATAGAAGCTTGGTGAGTGAGCATCAGCTTGTCCTTAAGCAACGTGATGTCTTGGGCCAGCCTTGAAATGCATCTAGATCTTAGTCAAATAGATGTGATGCTAAACTCTTTCATTTTTAAATTCTTAACAGCAGGCGTGAGTAGGGGAGCTCATTTTCAAGCGGAAGCTGGTGTGTGGGGAAATGGGGGACCCTTGTGCCTCCACAGGGGTCCCGAGGAAAATGCTCAGGTGCTATTAGCCCCAGCTAGAGTCACAAGAAGCCTTTCTTTTGCATTAACAGCAGCCATTGAGAAACCATTTTTGTCAAGTCCAGAGCACGGCAGGAGAGGGTTACACTCCCCGCATGCATCAAAGCCCAGATGACAGTCATGCTGTCATGAGCAGGTCCCGTCCCTCTGGTTCCAAAAACTCAAACAGTCCTTTGAAGCGTAGTTCTTTTATTGGCGTGTCACAGGTAACAGAACAGTCTGAGCTCTAAGCAGCCTTCTACCCCTGCTGGAAAGAGAAGCCTCTGCTCATGCAGAGTTGAATCTGAACTGTAGACTTTCCTATGATCCTTCCCTTTCAGTAAAACTTCTGCTCCACCCTCAGGGTGGCACTCTCTGCTGGAGGGCAAGTCTGTGTAAGCAGCAAAGCCCTTCCAGTTGAGCAGCTCATTTCTCCCAAGGCCTCCTGGCTGGGTCAAGGACTGGACTTCACACCTACTCCCCTCCCCACCTGCAAACCCTTCCTCTCCTTCCAAAACAGGCTGGTTTTCAAGCTCAGCCTGAGAAACTTCACTAGGCACAATTAGAGTCACTAAGCAGTCCAGCCCTATGATTGTGTACCCAGAAGTAGGTCCCACTGTTGCTATTGTTCAGTTGCAAAGTTGTGTCCGACTCTTCGCGGCCCCATGGACAACATTCCTCCGGGTTCTCCTGTCCTCCACCATCCCCCGAAGTACACCAAACCCCACACCCACCTCTCCAGTGACCCCAGGCGGGCACTTCAACCTCTGCCATCCCCTTCTCCTTTTGCCTTCAATCATTCCCAGCATCAGGGTCTTTTCCAATGAGACCTTCCTTCTCATTAGATGACCAAAGTATCTGAGCTTCAGCTTTAGTACCTGACCTTCTGAAGAGCAATCAGGGTAGATTTCCTTTAGGATTGACTGATTTGATCTCTTTGCAGCCCAAGGGAATCTCAGGAGTCCCCTCCAACACTACAATTCCAAAGTATCAATTCTTTGGTACTCAGCCTTCCTTATGGTCCAACTCTCACAGCCATACATTACAAAGGCCCCACTACATTTAAATGCTATTTTTTTCCCAAGTGTGGTTAGCAGCTTGAATCGTTTCAGGCACAACCCCCCTGGGATGTTTGCGCTGCAGTTCTCAGTAACAGCATGGTATGGTAGCCCAACTGCAAAACTGGATCCATTTGTGCCATCATTTATATTTGCCCTGCATCTTCAAAAATTCTTTTAGTGTGCTAAATATACACCACTAAGAGCAATTCAGTATTTTTTCCATGCACAGTTTTTGAAATTAAACATGCAGAAAGTACCGACAGCAGCAATGGAAAGAAGGTTGCAGTTCTGGCTGTTGTGACTACCCCACATCACCTTCTGCCAAGTTGGATCCCCGTGCGGATGTGGAGGGTGCGGGTGGGCCCTGCTGCAGGGGAGAGGAAAGGCCACCTGATAGCTTTTTCTTCATGGTGTGGTGGAAAGTGGCAAAGGGTTTTGATTGCAGACAAAATGCAAAAGTAAGGAACTAAAGAGAGTAGCTTGGCAGAAAACAATCTAAAACGACACTATCCTAAATATCAGTTCATTAAGAGGCAGCTTCTCCCTTGTTGTACACTGATATTTTGCAATATTGTGGGCTGTGGAGATCAATAAGCCTTATGATTTTCCCACAGGCGGGCCTGTTTGCTTCTGGACAAATAGGCAACATCTTGAGGCTGGAGAGCGGGGCTTGGGTAGGGTCCCCTCCCCAGTGGCACCACAAGGCATCTACTCTCCCCTGGGCAGGTAATTGGCAAAGGCCAACTTTCAATCAGGGTGGATTAAAGGGTTTACCAATTCCGCATTCATATATGGAGCAGGATTAAGCAGACTCGAAAATGTCAAAGGTGTCGTCTACAGTAATTAATCAAGTGTGCAAAGAACCACGTTCATCACAAACTGTCTATCATCATGAAATTAATCCTTTGCCTTAGCGAGATAATCAGCTTTCTATATAGACATTTCTAAAATTGCTTGACTGGGGGACTTTATTTTTACTGGAGCATCTTTACTGAGGCTGCAATCTTTAAAGAATTAATTGATTAATTTTTTGGGTAATAATTGTACGATCCTTGGGAGAGTATCTGAGGGCCATGCAATATAGCAATATCTTTTCCACTGCCCACAGAGAAGGGGTTCCATGGGGGAGAAGGGGAGTGTACCTCAGATACCCCACACAGTGGCTCAGAGGCTGATCTCTGGTGTTTTTCCTCCACTGGAGCTTTAATAGCGGGTTTGTGACACTATTGTGGGTCTATTGGCTGCTAATTAGCACTGCAGTAGTGAGTTTATTGGCTGCTAATTAGTGCTGCAACAAGGTTCCCTGGAATCCATCCCTCTTTCATGCGTGTTCTTCTTGGAAGTGAGCTGAGCCAAGACAGAGACTACAAACATTCAAGGAGTCCAAGCTATGCAACTGGCAACCTTCCCCTGAGTCATGTGCAGCACAAACACAGGCTGCAAATCACAGGAGGAGGGCACGCAGCCCTTGCACCGTGGTTGTGCAGGGCTTGATGCCTGGTGATGCTGAGTGAAAGCTTGGTGCCTTTGCCAGGAAGTTGGGTGTGTGGCCCTAAAAAAGGCCAGACTAGTCGGGGAGCTCAGCCCAGGGAATCCATTGGGTTCCCACCCCCAAAGTGAATCCCTCACACATCCCTATTGCTAACCATCTTCCATGTATGCAGTTCTGCTGCCTGCAGCTCTCCTGCCTTTATTCTCAGGCCCTTCTTCCAGTCACGATACCCCCCTCGGGTGGCCTGCTTGCCTCTCACACAGCATTCATAGAAGATGCTCAGCACCTTACGCTCTGCCTCCCTTTCTCAGTCCCCCTCTCACCCCAAACTGATAGCCCCCACGGCCTTGTGCTAAACCGAACAACGGCCTGCGGATGGCCTTTGGCCCCTTGCCGCCTTCTACTTTCTCCACCAGGATTGCTCCCAGCAATGCATGTGCTCCTGCCCTTAGCCAGCCTCCCTTGCACCAGAGATCCTGGTCAGACAACACAAGTTTAACTCCACCTAAGAGTGACAGTCCAGCAGTTCTTGCTTGTCTTCTAAGGGCTAGTTTCCAACTCTAGGCTGAGGTAGCTTTTCTACACTGCTTTCTTCCAGGCTCTTCTCCCCTTTCTGATCTGGTTGCTGGGCGGTTCCCGTCCCCATCCCCAAATCAGAATGAAGCGAAAGTGCTTCTCATGGCTCTCTGCCTTTGCCAACTGAGTGCTCTGATTGGCCCTGGATTCTCGGAAATGTGGAGAGAGAAACCCGCTGGAGGACAAAAAGCAGGCATCCTGGGGCAGAGCGTGCCCCCTAGACAAAATGCATGAGCCCTCCAGCGGGTCTGGATTATTTCCCTCCCACCTGAAGCAATGGAAGTGGAAAGTAAACTTTGAAAATATCCACCAGCAAAATGAACCTGTTCCCCAACACATGCCTGTCTGCATTTTCTGGGAGCATAACAGGGCATAGGGCATGAATGGATTTGCTCTCACCCACCCTTTTTGGATTGCTCTGTACATCAGCTGCAAGGCTAGCAGACTAGCTAACTATATAAGTACTCATTGCAGGGCTGTGGAATCCCTTTCAGTCCAAGACTGGCTGCTGACTTTCATCTCAGAGAAGCCCTCGGGGGCTGCATTTCATCTGAAACATCAGCCTGTTTTATCCTAAAGCTCTCACTTCCAGTAACTAAGATGGAGGAGAAGCATTTCGAACACAGAGTGGGGGGAAAACTGCACAAAAGCGGAGAAGTCAACACAATGGTGTTTGCAGGAAAGGGGATGAAGTGGAGCTGGGTTGGAGGAACCATCTGGGGAGCTCCAGGAGAATGGAATGGATCCCAAAATGGACTGGACTGGATCCACAAGTAGGCCAGATTTGGTTCCTTGGCTTGCAGTTGTGCATCCCAAATTACAGAAACTGAGAATGACAAGCAACATCTTTAAAGAGAATTTTCCACCTTGTGATTTCTGAGTATGAGAGCAAGCTCTTCTTTGCATGTGGAATGACAGCTGCCAAGTATAGAATTAATGATGGAATTCAGCCTCCCCCAGCCCACTTTTAACATGCTGGCAATATTATAAATTGCGCACTGCTAGTATTGTGCTGTTGCACTGATGGATACTTGGGTGTGGCTCAGTGGTGGAGCTCACACTTCACACATGGAGGGTCCCAGATTCAGTTTCCAGGTAGTGCTAGGACTGGATTCTGCCTGAAACCTTGGAGGGCGGCTGCCGGTCAGTGTCAGCGCTGTACTAGACTGGATAGACCCATGGTATGGCTTGACGGGTGGCTGCTTCCTATGGCCCTGTATAACTACTGACCAATGATTTTGGAACCGGGACGTGACTTTTCAGCTTGAAGAGCATGACTTATGCGGTATAGGAGTGTCCATTAGTTAGCCCCCACACCACATGGGTGCCATGGAACCCAATGAGGTGGACCACTGACATGGCCACTGCCAGTCCCCAGGAAAGGCTGAACAGCGACACGCAAGGCAACCTCATTTGTTCTCATGCCATGAGGTACTTGCACAGAGAGATCAGCATGGCATGGTGTCTTGTCGTAGACATGACACTGACATGAAAATTGGCCTCTGTCAGGGACAAGCAACCCGGAAATGTTTTGCACTGCAGTTCTCATCAGACCCAGCCATCCTGGCCAGCTGCTATGGAGGCCATGGCCCATCACTTTTGGAGGACACAGGATTTCCCACCCTTTGTCTAGACTGTGTGGATAAGAGATGAGAGAGTTCTGCTGAGTTTCCCTTCATCCCATTTTGTCAAGCCCTCCTGCCAGTTGGAAGCAGGAAAATTGCAGGCCTAATATTTAGTGTAGAGAAATCAAGCTTAAGCAGTTTTGGGGTTTTCTTCTCCAAGTGTCTTAAGTGGTGACATCCTCCATTTCCTTTTTGCTTGCTGTGCAGATGGTGGGCAGGAGAATGGCAGAAGTGTTCCACCACTTGTGGTCCAGCAGGAGAGAAGAAACGAACTGTCATCTGTGTCCAGACCGTGGGGCTCGATGAGCAAGCATTGCCTGCTGAAGAATGCCAACATCTGCTGAAACCAAAAACACGTCTTTCATGCAACAGAGACATCCTGTGCCCATCTGACTGGACAGTAAGCAACTGGACTCAGGTCAGTTCGAAGCCAACTTGATAGTTCATGCTCTTCAGAGGGCAGCTTAAAGCCATCCGTGGCTTAGCTGCAGCAAGTAGAGCACTTCACACACCTGTACACCATTTTCTGGGCTTGTGGAAAGACCTGTTTTCCTATTGCACCTTGAGCTTGGGCAGTTATTATGCTGCATTAGGGCCTGGCTGAGAAAAGGATCAATATCCTACCTAGTTTTAGATCCTGTGAACTGCAGCGTAATTATTTGAGTTTGCAGCATACAGTTTAAACTTTTAAGCATCTTTACAGAGAAATACAAATCAGGATGGAGAGGGAGCCCAGCTGATAGCTTGGTGCCACAGGCACCATGCTGGAAGCCCAGCTCTAAAGCCAAGCATCAGCAGACTTGAGACTTGCAATATCAGTGTCTTTTTCTTTTTAAGAACCCAAGGTCCAGCATCCAAAGTGAGGTGCAAAAGAGAAATCTGTGGCCAGAGGGAAGAAGGGAGAGAGATACTCCAAGCATATGCATAGATCAGGAATTTGTTTTCCAACTCAGAACTAAGTGCACAGTCCTTTCATGCAAAAACCAACATTTGGTTTCTTAATGGCTGTAATTCAGTTTAGCAGCATTGTTTAGAGAGCAAACAAACAAAAATCAACCAAGGCCCTTGCAACTGTTCACTTTTTAAATGTGGGCCAGAAACCTTTGCCTTCCCATTGCAGATCACCTCCTAAGATCTAACAGAAGGTCCCATTCTAACTTCTTCCAAGAAACTTCCTAAAAGTGAAATTTTGTCCACAGTCTTTTTTTAAGTTACAAATTAATCTTAAAAGAGAATGGAATGGACTAAGGAAAGTAACGCTACTCAGACTGAGAGAATACTCCTCTCCTTTTGCCCCACAAATCATTTGGCTCCACTTTCTCTTTCCTTGCATGGAGAAAGGAACTCCAATGGAACCTGGAGATGCAGAGCTCCAGGATTCAGCTGAGTTGTGTTCTTGGTTTAACTACAACTCACTGTCCAAGGAAGCTGCACACAGAAAAAATGCTTCTTGGTCATAGCCCTTCCAGTTCCTAAAACAAGTCAGCTATTTTAATATGACCGCATGAAAGGGAAATGATGGGATATCTGAAGATGGTTTATTTGTTTTGCAGTGTTCGGTTACTTGTGGAGGAGGGGTACGGACTCGTAACATCACCTGTACCAAAAACAATGGGGAACCGTGTGACATTTCAAAGAAACCCCATTCTAGAGCTTTGTGTGGTCTCCAGCAGTGTCTATCCACCAGAAGATTTCTATTGCACCCTATCAAACTGCACAATGGAAAGATAATCAGGAGAATTGGATCTAACCCCAGAAGAGGACCCACAGACAGGTCACCCACCCCAGAACCAAGGCCAAGAATCCCAGTGACAACAAAAGTACCCGAACCCATAAATGTTACTTTGGTACCCATATCCATTAAACCCCTTATGAACTTTTCTCAACAAGAAGACTTAGAAGTAAAAATATTCCAAAATGCCAGTTCTTCCAGCATTCATAATAATTCTTCCTACATAGTTAGTGACAACAGTTCACTGCAAAATAGCACCTGTGGACCTATCACAAATAGTACAAATGTTTCCAATTTGACAAACACGGGGAACATATCCAGCATGAAACCCTGCAGTTCTTCAGAAGGTGGCTGCGTCAATAAGGAGACTCTTACCACTGACGCCATGGCTTGGGTCATCTCACCAAGCTATCATTTAACTGAAGCACCCAATTCATTGACTAACAGTGTTGGTAGAGAAAGAAAAGACAAAACTGAAAGTGAAAGGCCAACAAGAGGATCCCCTGCTACCACAGCTGGGAAGCCCTCCAGAACCTCACCAACAGCTTATCATCTTGACACCTTTAGCCAAGTTCCTGTTACTCCAACAGCAGGAGTAGAAATTTCCTTGACCACAGTAGGTCTCAGTGGCCTTCGTGTACAAATAAACACACCCATAGCAGCAAATCCTGTCACAGAACAGTCGGCATTCTTAGATGATACCTCGAGAGACACGTCAGCGGAGAGAACAACACCAACATCCTCTGTCAGTGAAGCTCCTGTGAAGACCACAGAAGGTCCTTTGGTCTGGGACACCACTACGCCAAAAAGTCAGGACAGCGCTTTCAGGACATTGCCGAATGTCTCTGATCAACGTTCTGCAAAGGAGCCCATGAATTCACACCTTGATGCCTACTGGATGCTGGGGAACTGGAGTGAGGTATGTGTTGTGTTTCTCTGGTTTGCTCATGGAAACAGAAGTCATGCTCACTACATCTTTATCGTTACCTTCTTAAAGACAAAGAGCCATTTGATGCTTTCATAATAAAACTGTTATTCATACACAGGGCCTATAAGCAAACTAAACATCCTTAATTGATTTTTGTTAACCTTCTGGGCCTCTCCAAGTTCATTTTATCTTTCCTTCAAGATGCAGTAACTGAAACTATGCAGAGGAATTAAAATGTGAGCAAGCCCTTATTTTATACTGAGGCACATGTATCCCAGAGAATAAAGGAGTAGCTTTTACACTGTTAACACAGATATCAGAAGACCAGAGTTTTTGGTAGCTTTCCCATTTAAGTAGAGTTGAAGCTGGGAGACTAGAAATATTTTAAGTTGCTCACCTTTTTGGAAGCTGGCAGACATTCTTTAACAGACAATTTGCCCCTAAAGAGAGCAAAATTGAAAGAAAACCTACTTATCTGAATAAGGAACAGAAAAAGTACTTCTCTCTTACTCATCTTGCTTTCCAAATTTGGCTTTTCTCCTGTTTGGCTTAACAATGAAGCAAGGTCACAATTAGATCTGTCATCCACTGTGCCATTTACTGTATTTTTATTACATGTGGCAGGTTCTGGAAGGGCTGGCAGCTACCAGGATTGCAATGTGCTGTGTGTGGCCAGGGCTCTAATGCGTTTCTGCCCTGCAGTGGTCCTGGCAGTGGGGTTGTCTGATACAGCAAGAGGATTTCCCCCCATTTTTATAGGACTGCAGCACTGGAAGAGAGGGTTAAACTTCTCCTGTTTGTCTGCTGCAGTCCAGTAATGATCACTCTGGTCTCCCCAGTGGCTGTTTACATTTCGATGCATTTAATCTCACATCCAGGTTGGCCCTCAGCGCGAGCTGTCTGGGTCGAATAATGGTTGAGTTGTGTTTTTCAGCCTGAAACTAGTGATTCTGGGAGGACAAACGTGTTGCCTGAAAAGCACCTTGCAAACATTCACAGCCTTCCTCGAGTCTTTCCTGACTCCATTGCTTCTCGCTGGTTGCCTTGCTGCTGCATCAGGGCCAATTAGCGTCTTGTGACTGCCGCTTCTCCTGACAGACGGCCCCACTCAGCCAAAAGTCACACTGTGATCGGAATGGTGTCATGATGCTACATGAAGAATTGCAGCAGCGAGGGCAGCTGAGGGCAAGTGCACTGAAGTGCATGAATTAAATGCATGAACGTGCACACAAAACTGGCAGTGCCCAAAGACACTGCAAAAATTCAAGCATTTGCATTGATCATATCAAACAATTCTCCCCAGGAACCAGCTTTAGTAAAGCTAATGGGTCTTAATTGCCCTTTTCAGACTAAGCCACCTCAAGATACTTTCCATTGCAGCACGGAACTATCCACTGACTGGGTTTAGACGACACAGCAAGTCACACTCAGTGATTGGCTGTGGGTTATCATTGAACCTCGGGTAGTTATCGCAATGTGGCTTCTCATGTTGTCTGAACCCAGCTGAGATGAACCACAGTGAACAAGCCACAGCTTACAACCATGGGTTCTCTCCATGGATTGTTTGTGGTTAGCAAGCCAGTGCATGTTAGTACAGTTGGGTTCAGACAGCATAACAACCAACAACCACCTACAGTTCAACCGCAACAACAAGGATTATTGCGTTGTCTGAATCAAGACACTGTTACTGGGAAGACGCTTTTCCCTGAGCAGCTTCCGTAAGGATTGAAGATCAGCTCAGAGGAAGCAGTGGCCTCTGAGGATGGTGGCAGATGGCATCAGTAGTCCTGCTGACTAAAATATGCCAGTACTCTGCAAGTGCTCTGCAGGCCCTGCCTCCCCTAAACCACTGTAGGCCCCAATCCTACATATGTCAACCCAGAAGCAGGTGTCACCAAGCCCAAGGTGCCTGGCTTCCAGGAAAATGTGTATTTTCAGCTTAGAATGAGGAGGCCACCGGATTCGTCAGAGCTGGGACTCTGAAGGCGGAACGCCCACCCACTCGGTGCTGGTTTGGAAGGAGCCACACCAGCTGCCCCTCTCCAAGACAGCGGCTGGCCCTTGCGAGGAGAGAAAGGGGTGTGCTACAGAGGGGAGGATCTTGGGGACACAAACCAGACTTCATTTGGCAGCCCAGCTCCCTTCTTTCCCCTCCCAGCACTAACTCCAGATGGCAGAAAAGGAATGCTGACTGGAAATGCTCAGCCTGACATGCAGAAATAAGTTTGCACCCTCCATGAATATTCTTGCAAGGAGGGATGACAAATCTCTCCAGGAAGGACATATACGGGAACTTGTTTTAGCTCAGCTCTAATCTGAGGAGGGGGAGGAGTCATTTCTGTGAACCATTTTTTCTGTTCCTTTTGGAATGGAAAAGAACTGCTTGTTGCACGGCAAGTTACAACTTACAGGAAAACTCGTGTGCTGCCTGAGGCATTCCTCGCTTGCAAGAGCAGCCCGGCAAAAATGGATGTCTTCTGACAGTGTGGCTAGGACATGGTGAAGTCAATGAAGGGAGGTGTGGTGCGATGGAGCGGCTGTGTACAGCTGTGGCTCGGCTCAGAAAAGGATCTCCCCTTCTGGGTGAAAGGGAAGGAGCCTTTCCCCACAGGTCTTTAAGGCACATGACTTGGCCTTTCAACCAATTTAAGACCTACGGGAGGTAAGGGTATTAAACTGGTTGACATTCAAGCACCTCTGCTTGACTCCATCTTGGCATTGCCACCAAAATTTTATTTAAAGCAAAACAGAAATAAAATTGCATTCTGCTTGTGTGCAACAATGGGAGACTTTTCAACCCCAAGAGTCTCAAGAAAACTAATTATTTTTTTCAGGACTGGGTAGCTCATGTGGTCTTCTCTGCAAACTGATTTTTTTTGAATTGTAAATCATGGATAGATAATGGACAAACTCCAGTGTTACATAGACCAGCTTGAGCATATGCAACAGGATCTTCTTCTCCCCTCCTTCCCCCTGCAGCCTGCTATGACCCCCCCCCCCACCAGTGTTCCAGAGGAGCTCTCTAATTCTCAGGAACAATTTTGAGGCCGTACATGGGGCTCCAGGTGGAGAGAAGTAATGCGGGGTACGGTCTGTTCTAACTGGCGGCCGCTCCTTAGAGGCTCTCCAGCACCTGCTACAGGTCCTTAAGCCTAGCTGGGGCTGCCTGCTTCCAAAGCATTTGTTTGACAAAGTAGCTCCTAAGGAGAAGAAAATCAATCTTATTGCTTGGAATCAATCACCTCATTCAGTAGCAATAGGCATTGGGAATGTATTTTACTTTCTGGCATGTACATGTACCAAAAGGGACCCGTAATGATCCTACAGAATAGGTTTATTTCTACAAAAGTTCTGCCCCAGGAATGAACTTCTTTCCATTCCAAGCAACACTGAAAGTAGGTTTTACTCATGCCTGTTTTGGTTCTTTCTTCAGACACATTGAAATGAGGAAGTGGGAAGTGAATTGGAATCATCAAAAATTATTTGAAAGTGCATCCAGATTTTACAGGTCACTTAATATTGGAGGAGGTATAATGTCTATTTGGCATTATTTTCCTGAGCTGTCAAAATCTGGAGGAAAAAACGGATGCTGAAGAACTCAGTCTGAAGAAAGAGTGACCTCCAGAGAAATCTTTATGTCAGAAGGTTCACAAATGATTGCAGACACTGTGCTAACAAAGCTGCAGATGTTTCAGCTTCTTCCTGTGCCAAGATGCTCTGGTTCTGTCATTTTCTATACACATTAAATTCAATGCTTCAAATCAACAGCAGTAAAGAAGTTAGCTTCTGCTTCCATTTATTCTAGACTCCAGGGCACCCACTTTCCCATCAGAAGGCCCAGGGCCAATCCCCAGTGTCCCCTAGGAAAGGCTGGGAAAACTCTTGCCCAAGACCCTGGAGAGGCATTGCTGCCAGTCAGTGTTAACAGTGCTGGCTTTGCTGACCAAGGGTTCCTACGTTCCTCTCTTGCACGACAACCTAAATGCTTCAACATGTATCTCAGGGGGACATCCCTGCAATGTAAAAAAGATGAGGAAGGCGAGGTGCCAAGCCCTTTATTTCGGGGTTGTTTTGCAGTGTTCCACCACGTGTGGTGTGGGGGCTTTTTGGAGAATGGTGGAATGCAGCACCAAGAATGACTCTGACTGCCTGCATGTAAAAAAACCTGATCCAGCCAGGAAGTGCTACCTCCGCCCATGTGCCCAGTGGAAAGTCGGGAACTGGAGCAAGGTAACTGCCCTTCCGGATTGGTTTCTGTTCCATGATGTTTAGATTTCTGTCTTTTATATCCAAGAAAAATGCGGACAGAGGGGATTCCACATGGCCCCTCCCACTAGCAATGCCCAAACTTGGTAAAAGGGGAACTGTGTTCTTTGCTGAAACCAGGGAAAGCCCTCACTGTGGAAAAACGTTTCAGCTGTTTGATGCTTATTATCATTAAATTAGAAACGGGAAAGGCAGGGGTTAATTAAAATGAATGGATTGCCAAGAATTAGAAGTCTGATGACAGAGCTAATTTTGCTGTAAATATGGGGGGGGGGTTTGCCTCCAATGGGTTATTTTTAAATGTAATATAGTTGCTTGGTTGTCTGGTCATATAAACTGAAATGATTAGAAAGGGTGAACCTTTTCTTGATTGAACAAATGGGGGCTGTTTTTTCATTATAAAATATGATGATGATTATTCCTGCCAGCTGTCTGAGGTTAACAACCCAGGCTATTCAGCACGAGCATGTTAAAGCACTAAATGCTTCAGCTCGTCTCAGAAGAGAAATGCTCAGGAAGAGCAATGCGGAAGGAACTGCAGAGTTCCATTCTTTAGGTCTTGATTATTCCACACTTCTTGTTTGCTGGATTCACTGTGTCTGACAAACAAGAGTTCCTCTTCGAAAGGGCTGCTCAGCTGTCTGCTGGCTCCCCAAGGAGCAAGCTTGCAATGGTATGCTCCAGCCTTCTTTTGCCCCAAGGAGCAAGCTTGAAACCAAAACCTTTAGTACCTCAACCTCTGCTGAGCACGCCAACTTCAGAAGTCGTAGTCTCCTGTGAAGTCTCCCAGTTTGTATACAGTGGAGAGTCCCCATCCCCACAAAACACCTGCAGGCCTGTTGATTCCCGTCTCTGCTGTGCTTCCTCTCCTTGGGCCCCCAAGCAGGTGAGTGCTGCTGTAGGGAACACAGGCAGCAGGTAATACCAACAGGCCACTCCCCTTTCAGAGACTGCAGGTGACGGGCAGAGTGTCTCGGGCCATTCCCTCCTGTATGCTGCAGTGTGTATATTGCACCTCCTGCCTTTGGGTGCGCTGAAGGACCCTGTCCCGTTGCCAGTTCTCCATGTGGTCCTATCCCAGTGCAGCGGAATGGAGGGTGGGCACCATGTTTGCCTCAGGCAGCACTTTGAAGCGGCAGCGAGAGCAGCTGGAGGGAAAGTTCTCAAGGCTCCCCAGCACCTTTATCGTCTGCAAGGAAGGCAACAGCCCTGAGGGGTACGTTAGCCTTGGAAAGGGCTATTGGGCACTCAAGGATGTCCTTGGTGAAGATGCCCACAGATTCCAGTCAGACTTTCTTCTGGCCCTTCTCTCCACAGTGCTCCTCCAGCTGTGGGAGCGGCTTCAAGAGCCGCGATGCTCATTGCGTCGATGTTCATGACAACAGAATCCTGAGGCCATTTCACTGCCAGCTAGTAAAACGCAAGCCGCAGCTGAACACCCGCTGTAATGCAGGGCCCTGTGCGGAGTGGCATGTGGAACCCTGGAATGAGGTACACGGTCTCTTAGACAGAGCAATTAACAGCCTATTACAGGCAAACCAGGAAGGTGCGTCTTGACATTTTTGTGTTTATCTTAAAGGAAGGCACACAGTTATTGAATCTGGCACTGCAGTTCGCCTTGGGAATACCAAAGCAGTCTTGATGTGAAAGTGCCCAAGGCACACATCCACCTGAATGTTCTAGAGCACATTCTAGAATGTTCTAGAGATAACAAGACCCTTTTGGTCCAATTACTGAACTCCATTTCAGAGATGCTTTTGGGGACTGCATTTCAGCAGAAGGCAGGCCTGAAGATGAAGCACAGGCCCAGCTGATTGCAGCTTCAAGCTCTTTCAGCCAATAATGGAGCCTAAGAAGAGGTGTTTTTGAGTGGGGAATAGACTGCACAAAAGCCAGGAAACCACACAGTGACCAGGAGAAAGGTAGGGACAGGGTAATGAAGCATGCCTAGCTGGACACTGTGGTCCCAGACAGGCTGTATTTGGTGTGCAAACCTTAGGCCTGGGCTAAGACTTGGCCTAAGATGGGCCAGTGTTACCATGGACACTTGGACCTGGGTAAGATGGAGTCAGTATGGTCTGGCTGAGTGGGTTACTCCAGGCCAACCCGACTGGCTCCTTTCCACAATCAAGCACAGAGCAAAGGAAGATAAGAACACCCCCACCTCCCAGTTAACTCTGTGCCATGCTGGAAGTTGGGGAGAAGGCAACTGAGCTGTCAAACTGCTGCTACAGCATCCTGAACAGAGGCACCAGTAACTAGGGGTATCGAAGAGGCACTGGGTGGGTTCACACATCACAATAAACCGCCCTGCATGGTTTTCACAGTGTGCAGATTTTTGCCCATGCAAAAATTGCTTTGACAATTGTCTGGTTCCCATGGCAATGTAGTTTCTGTCCTGGCCACTCCATCCAGAAGCTCTCACCTGTCGCTCCCTATGGACCTCAGTGACCATGTTCTGATTGGTCCACTGAGGTTTTGAGGTGAGTTCTCCCTCTTCCCCCTCCTGAGCACGCCTGCATCTTTGCAGTGCTTCCTGGCCACTCCAGCCCTACAAAGGAATTCTCATTGAATTATAATAAACACTTTTGCCATGATTCTCCTCGTCTCTCTCCATGCATTATCTAGTTTCTCTCAGTTTCCAAAAGTAAATAGGGATGAGTGGGTGTCTTAGCCAGCAGGAATAACATGTCTGAGGACGTGTGTGTTGCTAGGGGGCCGAGGGTAGAAAGGAACAGATGGCTGAATGGCCTCTTCCATGGCCACCCTTTCCATAGAACGATTTGATGTTCCCATACCAACAATGATAACATACAGACCAGCGAAGCCACAGTGGAGCATGGAAACCCTAGAACAGACCATTGATTCTCTCCATGGTTTGGGGAAAATAAAGTACTGTGCAGAAATGGCACAACTGGGTCTAGAGCCGCCCCGAGGCTTTGTTGCGATGGGGGTGGCATAGAAATGTTTTAAATAAATAAATAGATAACATGTCAGGCCAACAATGGTAGGAAATCACCATGGCTTCTCATGATGTGTGAACCTGGACAATTAGTATAACTGGAGCTGCTGGCATTTGACTGCCAAAGCATCTGGAGAGTTCCAGTTTGGCTTTGCCAGAATACAGCAGTCAAAATCCTCATGTGTGTGACTGTCAGTCTCTTGAGAAGCTGAGGTAGGTGGACCCTTGGTCTGATGAGGCATGGCGTGCCTGATGCTTTTCCTTAAACTCTGTATGTGTCTCCACGTGGCCTCTCTTCCAGTGCTCTGTTCCATGCGGAGGAGGCACTCAGCAAAGAGCAGTGCAGTGCATCAGCACTGAAGAGCACGTGGTTAAGGACGGGAGTGTGTGTGAGCACAAGGCCAAGCCTCCAGGCTCTCGGAAGTGCAACCTACACCAATGCATGGAGAGACCAGGTGGGTGCAAGCCAGTAGCAACATGGGCAAGGGAGTGCTCTAGGTTGAGGATTCCACACAACCAGCCACTTCACTGGGGATACTTTCTTAACCAACAGATCTCTTAAGACCTGCATCAATGTGGGGATGGGCAGATCGGTATGCTTCTAGTCACAGTCTGTTTTGTGTATATCTGTCCTGTCCAATTTCTGCATTAATCTGCAAATTCTACGTGGGAAAATTCTCCGTGCACACATCACTCATGTGTCAAGTCCACTTGCCCAGAGAAGTTCAGAAAAGCCTAGCCCAAAACATGTGAAGTGTCACTGCCTGCAGTCACTAAATCAACTCTGACATAACCCATAAGATTGTGGTACAAACTAATAGAGAATAATTCTGTTTACCAAACGATGGTGTCGTTATTGACAACTGCAAAAATGGAAGTCACTTTCTCCCATACAATGTGGATGTGGTTAGACTAGCAAACATACTGGCCTGGAACTAGAAACATCCTTTGTGAAGCAGAAATTTACCACTGGTAGAACAGTTCTTCCCCCTCTTCTTTTAATCCTGCAGCCCTCCTTGCATCCTCCAAATGCCTAGAGCAAACATTTGGAAGATGTGCAGAACGTAAGAAAATGCCAGAGAAGGAGAGGGCGTGGAAGTCCAGTTCTAGCCACAGTATCCTTTTGTTGGCAGAACAGTGATTCTGGATCTAGCCTGAAGGAGGTCCATGAACAAAAGTTTGCTTCTTTATGCGGTTGCCTTCCTGGGCGAGGAATTGCAGGCATCAAGCAAATGCATGGTGGCACAGGCCAGTGAGGCACTCGCACTTTGGTGATCTGCACACAAGGAATTCTCCCATCTAGCACACATGCAGTACAGTTTTTACACATATTAGGGAATGATCCTGTGGCCCATAGAATTGTCAGGGTGTGCAAAGGCAGCGTCCAAGTTTGAAAGCTGGAGATAGAGCTCTGACTTCAGAGATGGGAATCGGAGCTGCAGCCCATTGCCTGGCTCCTTGTAGCTGGTATAATGAGAAGCTAGCCGGCCACTTTCTGAGGTCAAGGAAGTGGCCTTGGAGGGCAAATCAAGTGTGTGAGGAAAAGAAATTTAAGGGGCACTGAGAGTTCTCCAACTTTTTTCCTGACTAAAAAGGATGTTATCCTGTACACATTTACCTGGAAGTAGGCCCTACTGAAGTCAGTGCAGCTTGCTTTTGAGTAGACTTGCTTTGGATTACATTGTTCATGTCTTTCCACCCATCTTTCCAATGTCTGTCTTACTATCCTACTTCTGGTGGCATCAAACACATGTCGAGATGTGTGTGTTTCTACTACAGGCTTGCCTTGCAGCAAGGACAGGCTGTCAGCAACTTTCTGCCAGCGAGTGAGAGATGTTGGTAAATGTACCATGCCATCGGTGCGGAAGCAGTGCTGTTTCACATGCCTAGGGCCCAGGCTGGTAATGAAACACCGCCTTCGAAGCAAGCGAACCTGACACGTGGGCAGAGAAACTCGGCTTGCCAAATCTGACTCTGAAACTCAAGAATGCGAAAACTCATGTACCTCTTCCCCCATGGCCTATGGAGCCATCAGCCAGTGGATTCGACCCTTTCCAAAGCCAGGAGACCCTTCTCTGATTTTGCAGCGTTGGACTGACTTGTTCTGCATGCAGTCCTGGATGGTCCCTGTGTCCTCTCTGGTGCCCTTCGTGCCTCTGCCCTCTCCCTCTTCCTTCTCTCCTTCAAGAGGAATGACCGTGGCATCAGGTCGCTGACCCCTCTCATAAGGTGCTATAGAAATTACACTGGTTGGAGACCTGCACCCGGATCTAGCCGGGAAGACACTCCGGTGGCAGAAGCCGGATCCGCTGTGTTCCGCTAACGCCCGTGCAGGTGCATGTCTCGCTCTGTCCTCAAACGTGCATCCCGGCTCCATGGAACCGGCATGACACATCCTTGAGTGGGGATGCAACCTGCCCCCCAGAACATTTGCTTTCTACCTATGGTCAGTTGCCAACCTCCCTTTTCTCTCTGTATTGCTTTTCCTAAGCATCTCACAGCAATAAATAGAATACATCAAAGCACAGTAGGAACGATTAAAATTAATCACACCAGCAAGGAAATTATAATGAAGGTATCTATCAATGTGTAAAACTTTGCATTAAAACAATACAAATAAACTGACCTATTCCAGCTGGTTAAAATGGAAGAGAGGCAGGCTGAGGCCTGACATGGAAATAAATATACATGGCATACAAGGCAAAATAGATCTTCATTCCACAATAGGGATGTCAAAGAAATCTGCAAGAGTCAAATGAGTTTGGATTTCTATGATTTTTTAGTTTCCTCTGTGCACGTATCTTTAAAACTCTCAAGTTCTTTATCTCCTTGATATGAAGAACTTTACATATTTTGGTAAATTCTTATCAAAACCAGGCCAAGGAAATTCCTACTTACCTGCACCAGCCCAGCTCAATATTCCCAGCATGCAGAGGACAATGTTATCTCTGCCTGCCATTTAGCTGTTAGAGGTGAGGAGCCTATCAGAAAAAGGAGGTGATAACCTAATGAAGCAATTTTACTTAAACACTAACAAGGTTAAATACTCTGGGATTCAAACTCAGACTTTTAAGAGCTAAGCCCTGTCCCTACATACACAAGCCTGCCTCTTTCAGTTTCTTCCACTTTTGACTTAAAAAACCTCTAGTGCTTTATATACCAAATATGAAGAACTTTGTGAATGTTGTCGATTTTTATCAACACTGAACTGAAATTGTCACAGCAGCAGCTTGTCTCCAAGCTCTCTTCTGGGTCTCCTCTCAGACCTTTCCCACCTCTCACCAGCACCACTGGAGCTGGACTGGGGCTCTTGGAACCAAAGTTTTGCCTCATGGCCTGGCTGGCTGTGATATTTTGGTTCTGGGGATGTGGGTTGAACCAAGTGATCCCTTTAATCTGCCTCAGCTGCAGTACTGTTTAAATCAAAGCTAGCAGCTGGGCCTGCTGTGACTTTACTTGTTTAAACTTGGTCTAAAACTTATTCTGCTATCATGTTTCTTTCCACTTGAACCATCCAATGCAATCAGACAAGGGAAACAGATTTTTCCAAGTTCACCCAAGAATTCCATCCCGCCCGGATGCAGCAGCAACCATCTGAGGTTGCAAGGAATGGCATTTCCTTGTCCTTTTTACTGAAGATTATTTAAGTGGAGATGCCAGAATTGAAATGGTGGCCTTGGGCATACAAGCCGCCATCAGTCTGTAGCTGCTTCTTACCTATCACATGTCAACAGGGTCTGTGATACAGATAAACCAAACTGATGATCTGTGACCCAATCTCCCTTTTTGGAATGGTTTCTAAAAAGCAGCTGGGATGGGTGGGCAGGCGGATTCAGAATGGACGAAAGAGTGGGCCCAGGAGCCGAGAAACATGCTGGCCCTGGGTGCTGTTAGACTCCAGCTCCCATTAGTCCAGCCAACAGGTTAGGTAGAAATACTTGGCAATTCTGTTTATGGGGAATTGCAAATGCTGCCATTTTCAGCTACAAGAAGTTAATAGATTTGTGAACTGAGCAGGGGTGTCTTCTTGTTTCCTACGGTGCTAATATGCCATGGTGCTAAAACCTGCACAGTGCCCGAAATGTCTGTACAGTGTGTAGATGTCTTTCTCAGCGACATCGGCTCTGAAGTTCTACCTTGCTGGGCAGTGCCTGCCACATTGCTTCTTGCAGTGTCATGTGGTGCATTTCTCTGCTTCAGTTTGTAAAATACTGAATGTCGTATAGCTCCTCATGAGAATTAAAAGTATATCAGCTTCTTTGATGTTGGAAAAAGCTATAATTGGACTTGTGCATGAATGAATGCTTTGCGTGTGGCTGAGGTCTGCATGGGAACGAGCGGGGGCGGGGCAGCCTTTGAGTGCTGAACCATGAGGTCTGCCGTAAGCCAAATCCACCCGGTGGGAGAGGAATGGGTCTGCCTGGGCACATGGGCCATTCTTGCTTGGATGGTCTCAGTTGCCCACAACTGTCCGGTCAGGAGCTGCACAGATGTACATAATCCTGCTGAATGTTTGCAGAAGGCAGCCTTTCCCAACTCGATGTCTTCCAGGTATTTGGACTGGGATTCCTGCCCTGCTAAGATGAGGGGCAACCAAAATCCATGCTGTGGGGATCCGTCTTCTGCTCTGACCGGAGACAAGCTGGCTCGGTTCTGGGGAAAAGTCTTCACATCTGTCATTGGGGCAGTGCAGAGGCTTCCTCAGAGGGGCACTGGGGCATTCTGTGTTTCTGGAGGACGTGACGCAATGCCTTGGTCTGATGCCAAACCCAGGGCACAGACTCTGGCCCAGCTAGGGTCTCCCGGCAAGTCCAGTTTCTCCCAAATGGCCATGCCCCTTTCAACTTGGAAAACAGCAAAGATGCTCCCAGCTTTGCTGTGGTGCTTCCCCCACCTGACCACCTGCCCTCCCCCAAAAGGCCTCGCCTGAGGCTGACTGGCAGCTATTCTGGCCTGCCCCTTTGGCCTCAGCAGCCAGCCACCACCAGAATGTGCCCCAAAAGAGCGTCTGAAAAACTGGGAAAGATTCGGCCCCCCCTGCATGAGCTTGTGGATCAGAAGCGAGCCGGAAAAGGAGATGTTTGCCTCGTGATCAAGCCTGCGACTTCTGCTGTTTCTACCCCCCTCCCCCTTTTGTGCATCACAGCAGTGGCAGGCAGCAGAAGGAAGACGCCTGGCATAGTCAAAGACACACAACTATAGTGCCTGTTCGTGCTCTGCTCTAGGTAGAGCCTAGTAGACATCCAAAGGCCACCTCTGATCGTGCCATCATGTCAGGTTATCAAAGAGACGCGTTTTTGCCCTTTGCTGTGCTAACTTGAAGGGGGAAAGTGAATAATTGCAAGAACCAAATTTGCACTCACAACTCTAGCTTTCAAAGCACCAGAGTTTGGTCAAAGCACTTGGGAGTTTGTAAAAGATGCAGCTATCTACGCCCAAGGAAGAAGCACGAAGAGTGACTTCATCATAGGAATGGGGGAGAAATTCATTCAGTTTGCCTGTCCCTCATTTTACACAAGTGAACAAATACATGAAATTTTATTCTCTGAATTTATAATGGGGTCCTACAGTAAAATAATGCTTACTAAATGTATATATTATTTATTAGAGGAAAGTGCACAAAATGTATATTTGTGAACCTATTTAAAAATCATATGGGGAAGATTGTTTGCAAAAAGGCTAAATTGCATATAAAATGCAAGTGTTAAGAGAAGTATGCACAAAATGTGCATAAAATTGTATGCAAAAAGTTTGTTGAAATTTGTGCAAAACAAATTTAAAATGGGAATAATGAGAAACCCAGACAAACTAATATGGCTAGGTGTGCTCATGCATCATTTTCAGTTGCTAGCTTGCCTTACTGTGCCCTTTGTAATAAAACCAAGGACAAAGTCAAAACTCTAGTGGTTACCTTTCATTAAGCTTAGCAGAAAAACACAGCATCACATTTTGAATATCTGAGAAATGCATCCCCCCTTGCATACCTGAGGTATAGTAAATAGTAAGGCTGAGCATTCAATTATTTGTGCAGGAAGGTATTGCCCATTTGCAAAGCATTAAGAAAGCATCCCTGCCTTGCACCTAGAAACCTAGCATGCCAAGATGAGGGCAAGCTCTTTCTGCAGATAGCAAGAATTTTCTGGCATCTTAAAGACTAACAGATCCATTACCAGAACCAATACCCAAAAGTGTGTCCATAACTCCACTGGGCATGCAGAGAAGGATCTTGGCACCTCCTAGACTCCCTGCCTTCCCTGCCCTAAATTTTGTCTTTTTAAAATTTAAGAAATGGCTTAAGGAATGCATCCTAGAACATGAAATGCAAGTTCTGCTCTGTCTTTATTTCTAGGAGTGCCTCAAAGCCTGACATCTATCCCATAGTCATTCTTCAAAAAATAAAATACTAGGAAGCTTCTCCCTAGTGAGACCAAAAGGACATTAAAACCAAAAGAAAAGTTCTGCTGGGTCAGCCCACTGGGTCATCCAGCCTAAGCTCCATCCGCACAGCGGCAAATCACAGGATCCTGCAAGTGGGAGAGAAGCGAGAGCTCCACCTGCCCATGCTCCTCATCAACTGAAAGCTGTTGCCGCCTCCAGAAATTTGGCACATTCCCTTTTAAAGCCATGCAAATGGCTGTTTATAACTTCCTCCTGTGGTAGTGAATTCCATACTCACAGTTTAACTATGCCTGGGTGAAGAAGTCCTTCCTTCCTTTTATCTGTCCTGAATCACCCACCAATGAGTTTCCTGAGATGGCCACTTTGAGCTAAGGCACTAAGGGAGAGGGAGAAAAATGTCTCCCTCTCCACTTTCTCCATGCCTTCACTTCAGATCCATCTCAATGTGTTTGTCCTTCAGGTGGCAGAAGCCTCTGTTTGCTGCAACAGACTAACCAGGGAAGCTGTTTAAAAGAAAAAGAACAACTACAACTGCAAAGAGATGGCTTTGCTTTGCTTTGCTTTACAATATACAGTAGGTGTTCTAAGCATTGGAAGCTCCTTTAAAAATCTTAATCTTAAATGTGGTTGCAATTCCTAAGGCCTGTAAATAGGGTGCCAGGCTTCAGTTTAAATCTATCAGATCCTGCACAATGTGATTATCATGAACTGCAGTCAAGACAAGAAGCTAGCCTGATATGAAAAATTTTGTACAGGGCATGATGATTTTGTAGGAAGAAAAAGACAAGATGGTTTAAC